TTGATGACACTATTTTCAAAATTGCAAGTATCTAATGCAAGTTTCACTGATCAGGTAAATTTGCATTACTTCTTGACAATAAAGAGCTTGATAGAATGTCAAGTCAGATGGATGGAGCTGCTTTTGAAATATGATTTCTTTATTTAATACCATTCAGATCGGCTTAACCCCGCCGATGCATTGTTAAGATGACTCAATTGTGATATTATTGATGAGGATGAGAATTCTACAAAGAGACCTCTACCATCACTGCAGAAGAAACTGGCTGTAGAGGGTTGAAATTCTCTAATGCTTGAGAATGATGCCGATAAGACAGCTGTATAACTCTATATAGAAGGTGGAGGAGAATTCAGATCTCTGTAGAAAACTGACATTGAAAATCATGAACTTCTCATGCCACATTTTACTGCTATTAAATTGATGGAAGATGAAACAGTCTACAATCTTTCAACTCAACGGCTTCTAAAATTCATTGATAAGTTGCAGCAAAGGGACGTCTTTACTGTGGTTTGAATTCAGAAGTTGAAGGAGAAAGAATCTAAGTTGAACTTGAAAGAGACAAGCTCTGAGTGACGCGGTGCTGCTGAAGAATCAAGTCACTGACAACTAGGGGAATGTGGACTCTTACTGTTAAATGGTTCAGTCTTTATCCCTTGTAGCAGGGCAGTGTATCAGAAGTTATTGAGAATTCATCATGATGATTCTCATGCTGAGCACTTCAAATTGGAAAAGACTGAAGAGCTTCTGAGATGTAAGTATATTTGGGACAAGCTTCAGACAGATGTCAAGAAATATATTGAAATTTGTGATATTTGGCAGAGGATAAAGGTTTTGTGGCATAAGTAGTATGATGAGTTGATGCCACTGTCTGTTTCAAAGGACTCATGGCAGAATCTATCAATGGATTTCATAGTTGACCTGTTGAAGTCAACAAGAGTCAAGGGATATGACTCAATTTTAGTTATTGTCAACTGCTTTATGAAGATAGTCAAATATATCTCTATTTATAAAAAGATTAAAGCCTCTGAATTGACTGATCTGTTTCTAGATGCCATCATTTGTGATCACAGTTCTCTGAAATCATTAGTGTCAGACTGAGGATTTCTTTTCACCAGTAAATCCTGATTAGTCTTTTGCTATCATCTTATGATAAGGTGCCTCCTCAGCATCACATTCCATCCTCATTCAGATAGCCAGACTGAACATCAGAATCAGACATTAGAACATCATCTTCAGATGTTCTGTTCATATCATTAGAATGATTAGCTTAGACACCTTCCAATCACTGAATTCGCATATAACAATGCAAAGAATGCAACCTTAAAAGTGGCCCCCTTTTATACTTGTTATAAGTATAATCCTTCATTATTTAGTGACGTCGCGGACGACATTCTAAAGAGGGGGATAGACAGTCAGAATGTCAAACAGAATTGTGAAACAGAATACTTCTCAGTGTCAAAAATAAAAGCTAGATTGGAGCTTCTGAATAGAATTTACAGAAAGGCAGTGAAAAGCATTCACTGTATTCAGAAATGACAGATGAAATACTATGATCAAAAACATCTTTCAATGAAGTACTCAATAGAGAATCAAATCTTACTTTCAGTAAAGAACATTAAGACAATAAGACTATGTAAGAAGCTCAATGAGTAATGATTGAAACCTTTCTCAGTAATAAGAATAGTGAGTAAGTAGATATATGAGTTAAAACTAACCTCAAAATTCAAATCTATTCATTCTGTCTTCCACATTTTCTATTTGAAACTTTATAAGCAACGATTCAGAGCGGAGCCGCCTCGGCTGAATGGCATTGAGATTGAAGATAATACTGAATATCTTGTAAAAGAAATATTGAATAAATGAATGCACTACAATAAAGTTTAATACTTTATCAAATAGAAAGATTATCTATCATCTAAAAACTCATGAGAACCACTTGAGCATTTAGAGAATGCTGAGAAAGAGATTGTAAAATATGGGATGGTTAGTAGAGATCATCTTACTGCACATCAGAGATGTGATTAGACAAAAGCTGCTGCTTGAGACTTTTTCTTTTTCAAAGAGTTTTTTAAAAATGATCTTACAATGATGAGCTGGCATCTTGAAGACACTGTAACACTCTTCTTTTATTTTTCCCTAGAGGTTTTTAAAAGTTTAATGAGGTTGTGTAGCTTAAAAATTTCAGAGTGATAGAAAGAAAAAGAGGATATGAAGAATCAACAAATTAATGCAATTTTATTTAATCTGAGAATTGTTATTATTCTATAAAGGCCGAAGCTTATAAAGATTGAAAAAAAACATCTGAAAATCTCATTCTTCCACCACCTCACTCTCATTAAACTTCTTCTTCATTGATGAAGTCTCTAACACCGGCATCTTTGCCTGCTGTAGAGTTAGCACTGCGGCGCTGCAGGGGGGTGTAGAAAAATATGATAAAGTATCAATTTATCAATTTGCAAAGCATCTCAGTCATCTGCTTCAATTGAAGTGAGATCCTCTTGAACAAATGATTTGTCTTTATGACACTTTCAACAGCAGTGTTAACTGATTCCTTCTTCTTAAAGCCGGTCATTTTGAGGTGTTTTTTCATCTCAGAGATTCACACTTTTACCTTCTTCTTCAGATGAGCTTTGGAAACCTTCTCAGTACAGATAAAATCCATCAATATTTGAAGATTTATAACTTTGACTCTGTACTGCTTTGGCATCTATACATCTTGTCAGAACTGGCATAACGCTGTTACAGAAGAAGCAGTACTTACAGAAAGACAAATATCATTGTTTTTCACACAATGAAAACAGTATGAATGAGTGAAGAGATAGATGCAAAGGATCCCCCCTTCTTAAAGCTGCTTGATGCAGTGAAGGCAGATAGCAGTGCTAGTCAGATGCTGCATTAAAGTTTCTCCACAAGAAGAAAGCGAAGAAATCATGGGAACTCTGCAGATTCAACTCACAGACATTCTGAGCAGAGCTCAGACACTCTGCAGAAGAGGAATTACAGATTGAATTTATTTGAACTGCTGTTCTTGAAATCAAGCTCTCTTTGAACTCCTCTCTGAATGATCATGTAGGGTTATACATCACCCTGTTGATTGATGGGGGGGGCGGTGTAACAGCAGCAGAGGGGGGAGGAGTGGAACCTTTACAGCAGACAAATAATACCATCTCTGTCACAATCATTGAAAGCACAGAAGAAGCAGGAGAAACAGCAGCAAAAGCAGAATTTTTACAACTGTTAAATATCTCCATCTTCATCTTCAATCTGACGCTTTTAACTGTGACAGCGGCTGCAGCTGCACCATGTAAACATTTTTTACTCATTAAAAAACATTAGAATAAGCCCTCTTACTGTCTTTCAAGGATGACATTCCCATGCACTCACTATTGCAGACCAGGGGGGGGAGAAAAACATGTATCAAAGAGTGGAGAATCATTTTGAAGAACTCTGCCATTACTATTAACTTTGCCTCTAAAATGCACTACTTTTATAAGAAATTTCATACACAGAACAGGGATAAAGATGAAAATCTGCAAGTCATTTATTAACCATATTTTTCACGTTTCAAATCAATATATAAGGAATCCACTTACTGAACATTTGAATATGACAGTGATGGGAAGAAGAAGAAGGACTGTGTATTCAGCAGAAGAATCACATTGAATAAAACTCACTCATTCTGTGGCGTACTTACGCCCCTACCCACCCCTCGCTGATTCCCAGAGCTTCCGCTCCACCCCTTCCTTCTTCCGCCCCTACTCAAGGCTTCTATCCTTCCTTTTATAACCCTGCGATCGCTCCTTCCGCAGGAATCAATCACTGTAAATAAACAAGCATGTATATATAGGGGCGTCCGCCCATCTTCATCTTTTAAAGAATCAGACGTGTATTATCCTACTGAGCTGCGTACGCTACACATTCCTTTATACCATGCAGTGCACATTCTGTCAAAGCAGTTGACAACTATTGCTACATAACAAAGATAATTCCCAATTCAGTAATCTTGAGGTATTGAAACTATGCCTTTAAAGAAGAGGGCATTGTCACATTTTTTAATTGTGTCAAGGCTCTGTGGCGGCTCTGCATGGCTCATTGCTTCCCTTTGAATAATCCCATCTATCTCATAACATCATGCAGATGTCTGAACCGGTTTCTAACCACTCTATGATATCATTCAAATCCAATAGAAGAGGATTCAATTGATGGTATATATGAGAATTTTATTTCTATATGAGATCAGTAGATTTCTTCTGACAGATCAATGCAGTGCTGCTGTGAAGCTGCTTCAGCTATTCTCATTCATAAAGTGAGAGGAGGATGACTGTCTGTTGTCTATATAGAATAGCTAGATGCTGGCTCTCTATTTCAAAAGTCAGTGATTCATCTTTTATCTTTTAACAATAAGATATCAGAGTTATCACTGTCCTCATACAATATTCTTAGTGTGCTGAGTACCTCTGATAGTTCAGTGTTTGTATAGTATTCTATGAGTTCGCGGTTCAAGTGAGATAATTAAGCCTATTCATAAGACTTTCCATTATATACCATCCTCCTCTGTGCCGCTGCCGAGTAGCAACCGCCTTGGCGCTGTCACATTACAAATATAATAAAATAAAGTTTCATCTGTGAAGCAACTGAGAATTATATATAGTTATATAATCACACATTGTATTCTTTTCAAAATCATTGCATATAAGTGCTGATATTATCATCAGAGTCAGTTTGCTTTTTCTCCAGAATATCATCAATTTCAAATTGTTTCATTGTGAAAAAAATCTCCTCTTTTCAAAATAATTCTCAGATTTAATCAATATAACTGATTTTTTTATAAATTTCATTTAATTATAAAATTTATTAAAAATCTTCATAATAGTAAATGTTTTATTTTTTCTTTGCAAATAATTTATTAAATCTATATTAATATTCTCATTATTAACAAAGAGTTCATTTCTACTTATTTTCATCTATTGAATTTTATGCTGAAATTTTGTGATTTTCAATTTCATATAAGTTTTCTCATTCACAGTTATTAAAGTCATCTGTGTTATATGACATTTTGTTGTTGTCAACTGAATTTTCATATTTAATACTTGATTTATTCAATTCTTCTTTAATTATTTCATTAGATTCAAATGTCTCTGATGTTATTACTTTTCTATTGATTGCAGATGTTGATAAATCTGCATTCAGTTCTTTTTATTATGTCTCTAATGTTTGAGGATTTCTTCTACACATCATCATATAGTCCTTTATTAAATCAGGCATTCCACACAATCTCAGATTAACCATTAGGTTCAAATCACTTAACAAGCTGTCTAGGCAGGCTTTTAACGATGCGTGGAGACGTAGTTAGCACGTTATTTCGCAGCTCTTTTTGTAGCTTATAAGGGCCATAACTTGTAGGAGGATAACGTTCGTTGTTACTAAACTAACTACGCGAGAGCAATATAATATGTTGGGGGGCACGTGATAGGGTAGCCGTAGTACCCACTAACACCTGGCTCTCCCCACATTATTCTTACGTATGTCCTGTTGGGCACTAGTTGCCCTCCACCGCACGTGATTACCCCTATATATAGTTAGCGAGATCGCTTGCAGATGTCGTCCATGTTCTGCTATTAGCTGATGTACATGGCTGCCATCTGTCTGTGCCACTACATGGCTTGGATTCGAGCGCCTCCATATCTGGATCAACAAGCACTGCCCAGATATTCCAATCCCACAGCTACGTGGGTTTGGGGTCCCCGGTGTTCTTAGTGAGAGTACAATACACAGTATGCTCCGTTAATCAGTGGATAATGGGCTAATTTTCCACAGTTCTTCAATCCCATATCCCTTTCCTTCTGGCAACGTTTCAAGTTCTACGCCTGGCGCCCTTTTTCTCTCGTGTATATGGGAGCCCGGAATGTGAACACATCCCACGGAGAAGAACTACTTTCTTAAGTCCTGGTTATGTCTTGGTTGACTGGATTGAAAGTGATGACCCTCATCAACAACAATTAACTCTCTAGGATATCTATGTACAGTACCATACCTCCCACGGAAGCTCCCATCCACTCATTCCCCCAGCCGACCAAGCCATTCCGTCATACCCAAAAGTTGTACAATATATAAAGAAGACAAAGAAATAAATAATATATACCCTAGAATTCTTAATTATTGTTACGCACCTTGCTTCAATGTCGAGTCCATATCTATAATTCTGGTGGAGAAAGTGGGGGAAAAACCCAGTTTGGACACCCCGAATCGTTCGTATCAAGCTGCCTTATTACAGGGTAGATATCATATTTTATTTAACAGGCTGTACCCAATGCGGGGAATGGGTAAACAGCAGTAACTGTGTGGTGTGGTGTGGCGTGGTTGTGGCGTGGCGAAATATTCTGTTGTCTGTCTTTTCTATTACATCCTAAGCTAGCGATGTAACTACCTCCTCTAATAGCTATTCCCTTACGAGATGTATAGTTAACATGCGATACAAAGTATCTATCTATGAAACTAGCAGGGAAAAAAAATGGACAAAGCAGAAAACCAGTCGAAAGCCCCTGGCGACTGGTAACTGTCAGTTACATACCCCACCGCCTGATTGTGCAATTCCCTTTCCCCAATGACAACCCCCATCGGCCAATAAATGGAGAAAATAATAAGGTAAAAATTACAGGGATCAAAAAAAAAAAAAAAAAAAAAAAAAAAAAATATCAGACTAAAGCTCCTTCACAACTTCGGATCAATCTCCTCAAACTCACTCAGGTCCACGATTGGAGACGGCCCAGCACTGACGGCAAGACGCGCCTTATATTCCGACACGTTGGTAATGTACGCCGGCTGCCCGGGCTTTGACGACGGCGCTGGTATGACAGCATGGCCATTTGCGGCGCCATTGGTCGTCCCATTGATTGCCCCGTTAACCGTTACGTTGACTTTCTCGGTAGCAGGGACTGCGGCGCCCCCAGTTGTCGAGGGGGGTGAAGGTATAGCCTTTATCTCGAGCCCTTGTAGTATCTCATTAAGCACGTGTGTAGCCGGTTCGACGATGCTGGTCACTTTCTCGCTATCTAGCTTTAGTTCAGTCTCCAGAAATCCCCTGAGAATTGACACGATGGCGTCTTTATTCGTCATGACGTCAGTCGTCATGAAATTCACGTTGGCGAATGACGCTTTGAATTTCTCGCTATCGAACTCCGTTGACGACGATGATACAAGGTTTGACAGTTTCTCGACTACCTTTTTCTTGCGCTCGTCATCGGTTGCGCTGGATTGCGCGTTCAAATGGACGGATAACTTCGCGCGCGTTCGTGATTGCGGGTCGATATACTGCTGGTAAAACTCGACAATATCATCTTTTGTCAATCCCGCCACCTTCTCCGCGTCGGTCTCATGCTGGGTAAAGTCGAAGTACTCAGACGTGATATGCGACCAGAACCGACTCATTTCGGAATTCAGGTTCTTCAGCTTCTCCAGGCGCTTGTTGATGAGACTGCGTTTGTGGTCTTCGAATTCCTCGTCGGTCATGCTGTCAAGCGCCCGAGCAAAGCGGATGAGGAAAGCGTCGATGCGAGACTCTAGGTACTGGTTGGGTTTTTCGCTTTGGATGATGACCCGATACCCCAATGTGGTGGCACCGTACCGGATGCCGCTCCATACGACATAGCCTAGCTGTTCCTGCGTTCTGAGCTGGTCGAACGCGGGCTCGTTGGTGAGCTGACCGAACAAGAGCAACTTGGCACGTAATTGCGGGTCCGTAATGTCGCCTACGAAAAGATAATATTCGATACAGTGGTTAATGTTTGCGGGGTCCTTGAGAGTCTTTTCGTAGATATAATTACTTCCTGGTGGTATGATTATGTTCCGTCGCACGTTCCATTGGGACCGCGGCAATGGGCGGGCATGGAATGCGGATTCGACCATGTTTCCCATTTTCAGAACGTCTTCCCTATAAAGATTACCATGGCCCAGAAGCTCAATGTGGGTTTGACGGAGGAGTTGCGGGAAGAAAGCGGCTACATCTCCGGGTTCGATGTGCTCTAACTCAGCTGCCAGTTGCTCGGTAATCCACGTCTTCTCCGCCGTGAGGTACCTTGTCACATTTCCAACCTGATGGTAGGGTTGTTGATACTCAGAATTCGAGAATCCATCGGCCATTCGCTGTTTAACGATCTTAAACCGGTCAGGCTTGACTCTGAAGTCCCTCATGCTATGTAGAACTTTTTCCAAGAGGACTGCCATCTTATCATTGTATCCAGACACCGACACCTCGAGACCGAAAACGCTTGGGGATAAACTGTAATCAAGCCCACCTAGCTCAGCATCATAGGAGTACTCTTGAAGATCATCTCGGATTAGCCCACACGCTAGTTTTGTAAGAACATTGTTTCCAGGGGTGGCATATGCCAGCGGGTTCCGAAGGATAATTTCAACACTTGCTTTAGGGACATAGAAAGTGTCATCCTTTTTGAACCATGCCCTGACACGGTCGTCGTTCCGGATGAGAGTTGGCCTTTTTGCCGGCTGCGCAACCTCTTTCTTTTCAACATCAAAGCGAGTCGGGAGGAATTCATTCTTGTGTGGCAAATGAAGCTCTGGCATCGGATTGTATGAAGGGGCCTCCAGAATGCGTCCGATTTCAGAGAGCAGGTCTGTTGGGAGCTTCTCGACTCTGTATTCGGTCCCGTACCATTTCTCCTTCGAGTCCCAGTTCCCGGGATACGTCTGCGAAACAAGTTCGATATTGAAACTATCGATCCGGAAGCAATCTAGAGCGCGTTGGATGGCCTGTCCATCGAATTTCCGCAGCAAATAGGGCCCGCTAAGGAGCCATTCACGAGGGAATGGTTTCTGCATCACACTGCTGAGGCTGCTTGTGAAACCACTTGCTGGGGACTTCTGCCTGAATTTGAAATCGACTTCTGCAAGAGTTTTCATCTCTTCGAAAATCCATTCTTCTGGCACTCGTGATTTGAGTATCGAAATGTATTGGAAGATGGTCTTAATGACTTCCTGGTAGTTGTTGACACCGTCTTCGGTAAGGCGGATGGATATCGTAAAGAACGCGGAGCCTGGACAGATGGGTATGGGACCAGCAGAAAGACCATATGCCCAGCCCTTCGCTTTGATATGGGCAAGGATGCTTCCGGGGCCTTCGTGGCCGATCAGATGGCTGATATACCGAGCTGGCTTAGAGTCATATAGATTCTCTTCGTCCTGGTAAGTGAAGAAAATATCTAAGGATCGAGTATCCATGACTGGTTTAGCGAAACAAATCTTCTGTAAATCGGCCGGCGTATATGGCTGCACATCATCCCATCTATTTTGCGGCAGGTTTTTATTCTTGACATCGGCGAACAGTTCTGCAACCCACCCCTCTAGCTCATCCAGAGATTCGCGACCCAGGACAACAAGTTTCATACGGTTTGCCGAGTAGTTTGTTTCGTAGAACCGAATGAATTCATCACGTACATTAACACCACGTGACTGGGGTCCGTCCCTCAATGTTTGCAAATTTCCGGTCGAAAAATGGTGGTAGGGATGTTTGGGGTTTGAAAGAGACTTGTTGAGCTGCATGAGTCTCCAGTCGTCATTCTGGAGATTCTTCTTATTTTCCGAGTCTACAGCCCTGAGCTCGCGGTCGAGGGTAGCCTCGAGGAAAAGTGGAGCAATGAAGAACTGGGCAAATCGATCAAGAGCACCATAAAGAGGGGGGACCAAATCGCTGGAAGAAGACACTGCACTGTCGGCAGCAGTAGCAGTGAGCGGTATGGTTGGTCTTGAAAGGCCATCCGTCAATGGCTCCACCTCTGCGGGTATTGGGGTGGCGGGAGTGCTCGACTGAGTGCTTTTGGAAACTGAGGTTGCTGTGGCAGCTACTTCAAAGAAATAATTTGTCTCCGTTGCTCCAGTGTATGCATTTGAATGCCCAGAATGTGCTGCTAGGTATTGGTTGTAGGCATTTTCTTTGGGGTACTAGACGACGAGATTCATTAGCAAGTGTCATTTTTTCCCCTATTTTTAAGATCTCCGCAGCCAGAGGTTAGACGGCTTCACCTTCTTAGTCCCCATAAAGAGAGCATGTTCAACAGCATGGGCAATTCCCGGGAGGTCATCATCGTCTGAGAAATTGCCAACGTTGACGTTAACCGACGCGCTCGCCTTGTCCGTATCTGGATCATGGACTAGTAGAGCCTCTAACTTGTTTGGAAGACGGATCACACGGTATGAGCGATCGTCGACGGAGGGCTTCTCGAGGTCCTCAGTAAGGCGTTCAACGATTGCCATAGTGTGCTGAGGCTTTGGAAATAGTGGGTAAATCTGCTGCTGCTGCTGCTGCTGCTGCTGCTGATGATGATGGTGGTGGTGGTGGTGAGGCTGCTGTGCTGTAAGGGTAGTGCTTGTGGATAGGTGGCGTCCTATGACGGCAAAACTGGAAGAGACTAAATTATTGACAACGAAAGGAGAAGAGGCACCGCAGGGGAGTGTGCGTAGAGATACTGGCTGGGGATATGGGATTGGGAATGGGAGCCGGCGAGGTAGCTGAGGACAAGCTTGTGAAGTGGTGAGGACCGCAGTGGTGATCAAGCGAGCCTGATGTGACGGGGACATGCGACAAACCAGCTAACCAAGAGGAGACGGGACAAAGGACCCGGCACGATCACACAAACACAGCCCGACTCAATAACAACGCCAAACGGCAACACACTCAAAAGGAGTCAGACGGGGAGAAGCGAGCGTCAGTGGAGGCAACAAGATACCAGGACGTGATGTAATGGGGTCATACACAACACATACCGGCGCCGTAGAATTTTACGGAACCAAACCTGATACGGATAAGTGTCAGGGACGGTGATGGTTTTGCCACTACCGCTATTCCTAAAATAGAAAGCGGCGTGTATTCGGCAAGCCCTTGATGACTCAGCGAGCACGCATGAAGCCGAACGATTTCAATTTCATCTTTAGTACCGGGGCAATGTCCAAGAGCAGCCTATATTATTACACTCATCGATCAGTTCGGAGCGACGCATAGCATAGTGACACCCTGGTCTCTGCCGGCATACGTATATGCTATACAATGATCTTCGTACCCCGGGACTCGAACCCTTTCGACTTGGGCAAACAATTACGGCGACCAATCCATTACCGGCTTCACCCCTCCGACAAGGTTCCGACCGTTGCAGGTGCTACAGAACAGGAGAATACTACCCCCGCCTATCCCCTGCCATATAAACCACCCGTACATCATATACCGTCGTGCGGGGAGGTAACTTGTTCAATATACTCGAACAAAACCCCAAAAAGAGGTTCATTCAAGCGAGGGGTTGCAAAAACTCTCGAACTCGCCTGTTCCTGTGGCCATCCGCTCCTATCACTATGCGACATGTGAGATGGAAGTGCCGTTTCCCTTGTATCAATCGCCGTCGGATCGCATTACCTCTTGTACTCACCTCGATGGGTGTTAAAATATGACTGGGGGAAGCATATAGCTTATTCCCCATCTACAGTCAACAGAAGAATATCCTCAGGACAGTTTCAGGTGACATGGACACAAATATAGATAGACATATTTACATTGTATGCCCAATTGCCGTGCGAGTTGCTAATCCCTGTACGTAGCTATCGAACATATTTTTGTGAATTGTTCCAGCGATGGAAAAATTGTTTCGGCAAACCTACGCCCGATTTCCATTCTCAAATTGGTCCAGTGAGAATACAAACAGCAAAAACAGGCATTACACTCCCGTTTATTATACTCCGTAGTGAAAGCAGAATTGGATCAATGGGCTGGCTGGGTTTGCTGAATTACGGCCCTTGCTTATCGCCATGGTGGGCAGTTGTCAGTCTACACCTTTGTGTATTGATTGGCCTAGGGACTCGAGGAACTTTCGAAAAGAAAGGTATAAGCCGTTTATTGGACTCGAGTCATCAAATATCAATGGATTTAGCGTTCCTTCTGTAGCACCAACGAACATTCATGGATAGGTCAGACTAAGTGATGCACTGTACTTGCGAATATACCAGTATGTGTAAGTAAGGATAAAACGATGTTTAAATGAATAGGAGCAAAGTCAAAACCAAGATCAACGTAAGTGGTCGCAAGGAAGACATCATAGAGATCTGAAGATTAACTTAACTAACTACCTGTCAATACGGCTTAGTAATCATTTTTTCCTGGTCAACGCTTGAGGACGCGAATAATTTGACAACAGCAACAACAACTTGATCAAACAAAATAGTAAAATGGGCTCTGGGCCATGAGCGCTGCCCTCCCATCTTCAGTCTGCTCTTTTCAGTTTCTTTTATTCAGAGACAAACGCGTTGTTCATTCTATTTTTGTACGTTTGAAAAGTTCATGTTTCTCGTTGAAGCCCAGCAGCCAACCTCCAAAACTGTTCAACATGCAGCACATTCCCGCTTCTCCTTCCCGAAATCTAAGGGTGGCTCTTGAAGGCTGCGTATGTTTTCGCTTCCGACTTTGCTATAGTAATATTGATATTTTGGTGGGGTACCGAAACACACTGCTAACATCACACAGGGACACGGTAAATTGAATGACATATACTCATCAGTCACTAGAGCGGCAGAAGTCAAGGGCTGGGATGGCGTTGATCTCCTCATCATTGGTGGCGATTTTCAGGTGTGCTATTTCCCCCCTTCTTCTGCCGCTCGTATATACATTTGTTTCCCTTGTTCTCACCCATCCCTCTCTGCTAGGCAGTGCGCAACTCGTATGACTTGAGCTGCATGTCAGTTCCGCAGAAGTACAAACAAATTGGGGATTTTCATGAGTATTACAGCGGTGCCCGTGTCGCTCCATATTTGACGATCTTTGTTGGAGGAAACCATGAAGCCAGCAATCATCTCTTTGAGCTCTACTATGGAGGGTGGGTAGCCCCCAACATCTACTATCTTGGCGCTGCCAACGTCATCCGCTGTGGGCCTCTTAGAATCGCAGGTATCTCTGGAATCTGGAAAGGATACGACTATCGCAAATCCCATTTTGAAAGGCTCCCGTATAATCGTGCCGATATGCAGAGTATTTACCATGTCAGGGAACTTGATGTTCGCAAACTGCTACAAATTCGAACCCAGGTTGATCTGGGCTTAAGCCACGACTGGCCTCAGGGTATTGAATGGCATGGCGACTTTCAAAAACTGTTCCAGAAGAAGCCATTGTTTGAACCGGACGCGAATTCAGGAAGGTTAGGCAGTGTTGCTGCGAGATATATTATGGATCGCCTTCGACCCGCCTTCTGGTTTTCTGCTCATCTCCATTGCAAATATGCAGCAAGTTTAACACATGGTGATTATAAGCCAGCGGAGTTGAAAAATAGATTCAATCCAAATCCACAGCCTCACCACCAACCCCAGCAGCCATCGTTAGGAGATGATGTTCTCAGTTCACCGTCTCTTGTTACAAATGAGCAGCCTGAGGTGCCTGGTTCTACTAATGAAGGTGTGACAGCTACTCGCAGTGTCGAAGTGGGGTCTGATGCAGCACATATATCATCCAAGGAAGTATCGACTACAATCGTAGATACTGCAATGAGTGAGGAGATCATAATGTCAACGCTCGGTGGCGATGACGAAGCCACTACGCGCGCAGCAGAGAGCGCCAAAAACGCCCCACAGCCACAGCCTGCTCAAGGTGCAGAACGTGATCGTGCACAGTTATCAGCCTGGCAGAACTTCCACTCAGTTGCAACCAAAAACGATGCTGAAGAAAATGTTCGACTCATGAAGGAAGCGGCCGAGTATGAGAAACAGATTGAGGCTGGCTTGATAAGTAGACCAGAGGTAAATTACCAGCTAACGTGGAAAAAGGTTGCGGTTAAGGACGATAACCTAGGACGTGAAATTGCGGGTGTTGCAAAAATCGGATATAATGCCCAGCAGGAACTTCGGGAAATTACCGAACAAGAGATAAGAGACGGAGGAACCGAGGTTAAAAATCCCGACGAGATTGATATTTGTCTTGATAGCTCATCTGACACTTCGGAGAAACTTGAGCAAAAGGATACCATAAGCACTAAGACTAGAAGTACGGATAAAATGGAAATTGAACATAGTATTTCATCAGGGAAAGCGGAAAAAACCGCTACAGCTGCAGTGGATGCAGCTGAAGCTTCACAATCAGGGGATATCCCTAAGGAAATTCGAGATCAACTACCAGCAAGTTTCAGGAAACCCGAAACAATTCTAGATGATGCCCCAGTTTTCGAGTCTACCCTACCAGAAGCCATCAGCAATACAGAAACAAACTTCCTGGCCCTTGATAAATGCGACAGACATAGACAATTTATTGAATTGGTGGAATACCCGGCCATCTCGTCTCCTGAGGAGGGAGAAACTGGAGAGGAGAGCCGCCCATACCAATTGAAATATGACAAGGAATGGCTCGCCATCACTCGAGCCTTCGCTGACGAACTCACACTCGGCGATCCCAACGCCTCCGTACCCACGAACAAGGGAGACGCACGTTACAAACCCAGCATCCTCGCCGCGGAACAATGGGTAGAAGAAAACGTCGTCAAACCAGGCAGAATGACCATCCCGCACAACTTCTCCATCACCGCACCCGTCTACGACCCTGCCGTGCCCATCACGACAACTGAGATGCCGCCAGAGTATACGAACCCGCAAACGGCGCAGTTTTGTGACCTCATTGGGATTGAGAATAAGTTTCATGCTAGTGATGAGGAGCGATTTGCGCGGGCTGATGCGGGGCCGCATCCGGAGCCTCTTCAGCAGCGGCATGGACAGCGGTTTCGGGGGCATCAAGATAGATCTTTTAATTCCCTCGGGAGGGGGAGGGGGAGAGGATTCGGGAGGGATGGTGGCCGGTGGCAAGGTGGTCGTGGTGGCCGGGGAGGTGGAGGCAGAAACAGGGCAGGCCGTGGTGGCCGTGGTGGCCGTGGGGAATATTATGGCGCCCCGATATAATGAATGATATGATAATATATCCGCGGTTGCAGGATTTCAAGCGCTTTATTCTTACATTGATTCATTTTTCACTTTTCTGGGAATGGACTACAGGGAAGGCGGGATGGTAGGCGTTTTGTACTCTTCGTGTATGACTAGGCACTTGATTTTACGAAAAACAAATCGATCGATGGGAATTATCATGCATTTCATCTCGAGTCTGGATCCACCAACTTCACTAGCATGATCACTTGAAAGGAATTTCAATCCTCGTCAACCACTGAAAACATCAGTAGTTTCTTACTCTGCTCTGGATACTCTTGGTAACTACAAGGAGCCGTCGGAACTTGAATCAAACTACATGCATATTATATATTATATAGTACTACATTCTACATTCCAGAGATGATCATATTTCACGTATGGTAACTAGAATGCAACTATATACATGTGGTGACCGCAAAACGCCAAAATGAAGACGGTCTTCACGCTCCTGTTTAAGAACGAGACACCTATTCAATTTCCTCGATCCGTGGCCCTTGCCCAGACCCTTGACGGCCGCTACCACCACCACCATCAACACGCGGATGAATATCCAACCCAGCCAAACGATCCCCTAACTCGAAGCTAGGTTGCTCGCCCATGCCCTCACGAGTCCTTACTCCCCACAATAACGATTTTTCAAGCCATGCCTCGAAGCTCTCGATGAGAACTCGTATATGTCCACGGACGATGGGGTCGGTTTCGCTTGTTTCCACGAAAGTTAAGACGCGGAGTATATCCGGTATATTCCCGATGATTCCCTGGTTCGGGTAACGTAGTTGAGGGTTGATAAAGTCAGTGGACTGATTATCATTATTGGTAGTAGTAGAATACGAGAAGCCGAAGCCGAGGTTAATCCCATTTTCCCTTGCTGTATCGAGCGCTTTGACGAGGTCGAGAATCAGGATTATGGCAGCTCGTCGCAGGATGACACTCTCCGGGCCCTGTTCGAAGTTCAGAGTTGATAGTGCTAGGTCAACAGATGAGGATACAACGGACGGTCCAAGGCCTGCGACATTTGTCTGGATGGCCGATGCTAAAATGGACATGGCGGATGCCCGGACACGTAGATCGTCAGGTTCTAAGTCAGATGCCGCTCCAGCAGCCCATGCATCGATTATATTGGCCGAATAAGCTTCAAGAGCGGGGTTTTCTACCTCTGAGTCCATTGCTTCGTCAATTTGTTGCATTAAGTCGGCAGCTTCACGATCTAGCGTATCATCCTCCGTCTCGGTCGGTTGCGTCGTTAATTTCTTCGCCATTTCCCCTCTGGCCCGCTTCGCGGAGGGTTTCCTGCCACGTCTTCCGGCTACTGAAACCATGGTTCCGCCTAATGTTCTTGCCGTGTCCTCTACTAAGGCATTTCCTAGCTCCTGGACAGCCCTCAACAACGCCTCCCCGATTTTCAATCGTTGTTCTAGGCTATGTTGTTCGCTTCTATCCGCATAACGCTCTGCTAGGCTCCCAATAACTGTCCGGGGGTGTCTGGACGCGAGAATTCCAATAATCTTAATGACATGCAGGTAAACAAATTCATCATTTGAGGAAGATTCGATATTCGAGTTGCTTAATAAGGAAAGGAGAAGAGAGAGGGTTGCAGGTATATCAAGGACTGGAGAGGATTCGGTGATCAGGCATGAGAGAATGGTAAGCCCTTCTGCCTGTATCGGAGGTAAGGGAGATGAGAGATGTTCAAGAGCTTGGCGATGTTTTTCCAGGTCGGAGATCCGGGAGGAAATTGCCTCGGGCTTCCGCTCTGGGGATAATGAAGATGAGAGGGTCATTTCAAGTAGCATCGACGCGGTGTTTGCAGGTTGCATAAGATGGGAGGGTAAGTTAGGGAGTAGATTGTCCAGTTGGACTTTTATTCTTTGAATTACTGGAGATAATGTTTCTGACAGGAAAAAATCGGGGGAAGCAAGAATGGTCGAAAGAAGACTGAACGAAGCTGATAACGACTCGGACTGTTCGGGGTTATCATTGTCAGAAATCCCTTGGGAATTCTCAACGATATTACCTAAAGACTGAAATGAGGGATTATTCAGTTTCCCGTGGGCTGTTTTTGTTCTCAATGAGACCTCGCTTTGTATCAACTGCTCAACAATTCCCAGTATTCTGTCAGGGTGCCGTGCCAAACTATCTTTGAACTTATTCAGGAGCTTCTCCGTGAATTTGGCACTGGTCAATTTCTGCAAAGTAGTTTGCAAATCTTCACCACCGTGCAGAAATTCTGGTTCTTTCTGGGTGTGATTTTCAGAATGCCCAAGTAGCCACTTCCGGCTAACATGGAGAAAAATATCACCAGCAAGCTCCTCTGATTGAGGGTCCAGGCCTAGCAGTTCTAAGACGCCATCGATGCGGTCATCCAAAATTTTCATGAGAAGCATTGTATTGAGTACTTGCTGGGCAGGGGAATTTGTGCGTTTTCTAATTGAAACGCCCCCGTTTTGCCCAGGGCCAAATGTCCAGGTTTTTCCTCCGTCCCACAGTATATTATCAGACAAGTTGTCGTATTTTGATACGCCAGTGGACATGGAGAAAAAGGTTTGCAGGAGCGTGGAAACTTTGCCATACCAGGATGATTTTTGATGCTCTTTGGCATAACACCCTAACGCCCACAGTGGCAGTAAGACGGGTTGAATTAATCGTTTTAAAAGGCTTGGGTTTGGATGTAATAAAACTAATGCGCTCAGCCTTGTAAGAGATAGAAGCAGCTTTGGTTCATTTATGAGAACTACGCCCTCCAAATCACTTAGTGGGCTCTCCGGCAGAGCGGACCCATCTAACGAAAACCTTCTCAGCCACGCAGCAACCTCAGTTGTCATATTTCCATGAAGTGAGTCGAGGATAGGTTTCACGAATATTTTATAACCAATCGCACCAGGCTCTCCAAGAGCCCGTTTTCCGAGTATTCCACTACCAATCACGTAGGATGCAGTTTTCTGTAAATCGGGTTCATCTCCATCTAAAAGCGCTAGTAGTTTTGGAGAAGTATTGTAGAAATAGTCGTCTGCCGAAATTCCTTGAGGAACTGAGGAAAGTAGCCGAGAAATTTGCATGATAGCTTGCACTGTGATTGGAGGGCCTTGAGCAGGCGCAGTTTCTGCACTTTGGCCCAAAGCCGGCTCAAATTGAGAGGCTATAAAAATAATTGTATGAAACACGCCGTCTTTCCGTAAAGGAACGTGTGATAGTTCCGAAGATATTATGTTTTTGAACCACGGAGCAGAACTTGTTTGGATAAACGATGAGAGAATTGATAGCAACGTGGGTGTGGGAGATCTGGGTGAATTTAGCAGGTGCATACACTCAAAAATCATCAAATCATCAACAATGTGCGTCTTACTCTTGAATCAGCTTTTGAAATAGTTCCGCATAAGCGCTGGTTTGTTCCTGTGGAAGAGAATGTGGATGAAATGCGAGCTCTGCAGTGGCACACAATATGTCCCCGAGAATTCTACCCATAACTATTGGTTGAATACCAGAGTGTTTGTGACAAACAATCGGCGTTAAAGCGTCTATTATCAACCGCAATAAGCGTTCATCATGCAACCTATCTTTGGAAGTCGCTTCTGGCTGTCTTGCAACAACGCCAGTGGGCAGGGTAGACATCACCCGTTGCTGAAGGGGTATTCCAACTCCCTGGGATAGTGCAGGGTATATGCCCTCAAGGGAAATCAAGTCAAGGAGGCCATGGATTGCCCGTCGCCGCCTGGTATCTTCAAGAACAGGGTCTTCTCTGCAGCCATTTCCATTAGAATTCTCGATCCCAACATCCAGGTTTGACTCAACATAGGCGCGATGAATTGTGACAAGGAGATCTAGTGCCCGTTGGATTACATGTAACGTGGCATCGCCATGTCCTTGGCCTTGAACTGAGAGCTTTCGAGCTAGAATTTGGACAATAGATTGACCGCGTGATTTCTGTATCTCCTCTTCAAGAGAGTTAGCGATGTTTCGGAGGAGTAGAAGTTAAGGTCGCGTGCCTCTTTTTAGAACCGGGCTCAGAAACTCATGAGCATCATCGAATGCCTTTACGAGCTGACGACATCCCATCGCCATGATTTGTGCAGTAATATCGTTATGGCTATTTCCGTCGCTCAGCTATCAATTCCATCGTCGAAAATCGGAGAAAATGGGAAAGTGACGTAGCTCCACGACACCATTATCACGTGAATTCGCGATCTGGCGGATTTGCCAAGGAATTTCGAACCACAATGAGCTTTGAACCCCACTCACACCTTGTAGTAACTTTTGAGCCCTGTTCCATGTAGACCACGGCTTGATGAGCAAATTCCATATTTCTGCAACATTCACTGGCCTTTTTCCTTTTTCTTGCAACATAAGGACTCGTTAATGCTGAATGCGATGGTTTCTGGATACGAACGCGGTACGCTAGTCCGCAATAGGAAGTCTTGGGTCAGCCTTTGAACCTTGGAAAGACGCGTTTTCACGTGATCATCAGGTATAAGCAACTCCTGAATTTTGACATCCTGCAACAATTCCATTGCCGTGACTTCGTTCGTCTTGATCTTTTTGCAGGAAGGGTATCATTGCCATGAGTGTTGCATATTTCTAATCGCCGTACTTCTTCACTTCGAATGCTTTTGTTTTCACCTCGATTCGCGTCTTTCTTGATATCGCTCATCCCGTCCGCCCTTACGGACACTCCTTGTTCACCACTCTCTTGCCTTATATAGGCATTATATATACAGTCCAGCCTCCCCACAGTTCTCCAATAACCCGCCCCTCATTGCTCTCGTCGCGTCATAGCTTATTGTCCTCGCGAGGCGTTACATTGTGGGGTAGTGGATATTGGAACTTAACCCTAAGTTATATCGTCGGTTGTCCGTCATGAAGGACGTGAGTCTCGCGGTCAATAGTTGTCAGATGCCTGATTAACCCGTTTGAGCTGTTTGACTGTTCGAATTGGGCGAAAGGGTATTTGACGTCCAGAGCTTAATAAAGATGATTTACTATACGTTTTAAAGTGTCCAAAAGGAACACGTGTCAGTTTATCTGCTGGACTGAAATTACTTGGATCAGTGAAGGGATGGTCAGTTGGATGCATCATTCGTTTTTTGGGAAAGTGAAATGGGATATGGTGGGAGGGACATGCCGGACAATCTCGCATTGAGGAATTGCCCTTGGGAGCCTGAAAATCTTTGGATCGCGCCGTTGGATTCCTACTCTCGTTACACCCGCCCCCAGATTTATGTAGCGGGCTTATCTTACCGTCTGTTGGAAAGGCATTGAGCTTCGAACGCAACAAATCCACCCGCATAAGGATGGTTGCCTTCACACCGACCACCGCTGATGCATTTGCGCGTTGTTTCTTGGAGATCCACTTGTCGGAATCGTCCCATATTATCTCTAAACCAGATTACATGGCTCGTAGCAAGGTCAACAAGACGACAAACATATGTGTGGTCGTCTTAACTGGTAGCTTTGCTAGATTGCCGTTAAGAATTTGCGCTTGTTGCCATGTTCCGGTTGGCTTCTTTGCGTCCATAGCGGTAATATACAGTCCTAGCCGTGGCGGAGGGACGTAACGAAGACAGGGGATTTTCCTCAGATTTGGAATGTCTTTTTGAACATTTACTTGTTTGGTATCCATTGCTATCCGTGATTGGCTGTCCCGCGCATGTCTCGAACCTCTGAGCGCGCCTTCACGACCCGCCAGACCCCCACCATCCACCCCGTTCCTCCTTTGTTAAATTAGAGCTCGCTGGCCTTACACTGCGGCACTAGCCATGAGTGTTAGCTTGGTCCCAAGCGTCCCGATCCGCCGTGTTAGTCATCTCGCTGCAAGTTTAGCTTACAGTCTTGAGTGAGCGCCGACAAATGGTTGCCTGCGAAGTTCCTTCAATGGTGCCCAGAACCTACCAATAGCTGGCAGGAAGAAGCGGTTTTTGAGGATGTCTTTTGTCCGCTTTCAAATGCCCTCCAACATCTAGCTTTATCTTCGGCTCATCTTGGAGAGGAAACAAAAACTAGTCTCTGAGACTACTGTATAACAAACAAGAGAGGCTCCATCCCGGTCTCGAAAGATTCGGGGTTTGAACATCGAGTGTTGGGCTTGGATGTTTGAGTTTTGAGAGAAAGACTGGCGTCGAGAGAAACAAACGCTGAATGGAGGAGAGCGACTGTGAATGAACTGCACCGTGAATTTGTTACGCCTTGAGTGGAAGACAAGATAGGACCAATCGCCCAAACATAGGACCTCCTAAGCATGCCACGAGTATGAAAAATATTAGCTGCGTTGCTGGATAGCCCATTTATCTCCTACGCTATTCGCCTACGCCCATGTGATATGATCATCCTGAGTGATCGTACTACAGCTATCGCCTTTGACTTTGCGCTTCAAAGTTCTGAAAATTTCCCTTTGGTTTCACAAACCTCATTGACCTTGTTTCATGTATTGCGAAAATGCGGATGTATGGAAATTGGGGTTGGAATGTACGTCAAATCGGGACCTCTCTCGAGTGAGGATCAAAGCTTCGGCTTGTCTGTGTTTGGCGTATGCCCCTCTCCTTTTCATATTCTATTTGCCATTTTTCAGCATCATGTTACAATTCATTGAGCTGTTGGCTCCAGTGGAGATGGAAGGATGAAGCGTGTGTCGGCTTAGCGTTTACAAGTATGTTTAACTCTACATGACGGGCCATCAGCGGGGAGCGAATGAGATTTGTGGACTAGGAAAGCAACGCGAGCGATATTTCTCTTCAGTTTGGTAATGCCACAGAGAGCTCCTTGCCGTTCCCTGTGCAAACGGGGAACGGCCATTATACTTTTTTTTTATAAGTCACCCGATTCCCAACTAAGCTGCGATTGAGCTAACTGCTACTTAGGACCAATTTCAATATTGCCCCTCAGCTACAACCCACTGAATTTGTCCTTTCTGTATAATGCCGGATTACCTTGTAATACTCGAGACCATACCGTGTTTTTCTTCCATTTTTATCACTAGCTCTGCGTTGTTTATGTGTAATCGGATTCCTTGTTTCTTTGTCGCTGGGGGTTCACAATCTTCGTTGGCCTCGTCACCCATCCTCAAAACCGTTTATATCAAGTTTCCACCAACATGCTGCTTGCTGTGACGTTGTCTACAAGCCAAGTTTCGTTGTCCCCCTAAAGTTCCTCGCAATTGATTTTCCGCTCCGCCAGACAAACAAGAATGAGGGAAGGAATTGACCACATACCGTGTTGAGTGACTGGCAAGTACGATATTGGATACATGGCTGCTAGATTCGACTTGACCCAACCGGCTCCTTCGTTTTGCTGCCGCATCAGGGTGTATCTTTCCGCTTTCTTTCTCCACTTCGCTCTCAATTGTCCCCAGCCATACTTGTCCAACAACAAGACTTTGTTGACTCCGCCCCAAGGTCGTTATGTTGCCCAACTCTTACAGCTGTATCCTTTGTGTTCAACGTTCAATTAGTTACTTATTTTTTCTTCTTCGACTGGTGTGAAACTCTATCTTCAGACAATAAGTGTCGCCATGCATTCTCGCCGCTGGGTATGGGCTCTCCACTTCGGCCTCGTAGGTATCACCTTCGCCACTACTCTTGATGATAAAGAGGCTCCAGATGGCGAGACCGTCAATGGCGGAATATTACCCGACTTTCCGATCTCCCTGCCGCCGATACATGTTCCATCCCCAGGATTTGGAGGGTTGGACAATACGCCCGCTCTGGGCTTGCAAAAACGCGATGCTCCTGAACCGAAATGTGGTCCAACGTATGGACCTTGCCAGGACGGTTACTGCTGCTCACCATCCGGTATGAGTGGAGCTAGGCTTGACATTTGATTTTTGGTCCTGTCTCGCTTACAGTATGCCCAGGTTTTTGCGGTAATTCCAGACACTATTGTCAGGCCCCAGATTGTTTAATTGATTACGGGAGCGGCTGCGATGCGCTGAAAACACCCGACGGGGAGAGTACATTAAGTGCCCCTCGTGACCCTCTTGGGAAAATTCCGTATGCGAACCAGCCGATATTCAACTGCAAAGTGCCCAATACAGTTGCGTTGACGTATGACGATGGCCCAAATATCTATACCAGTGATCTACTCGACATTCTTGATTCTTTTGGCGCGAAGGCAACTTTTTTTGTGACAGGAATCAATTCGAACAAGGGCCCGATTGATGATCACAATTTGCCATGGAGAGAGTTAATAAACCGAATGCTGAATAAACATCAAATTGCTAGTCACACATGGGCTCATCAAAATCTCGATAGCCTTTCTCCCGATCAACTCCGCAGCCAGTTGGTGAAGAACGAAATGGCTCTCCGAAATATCTTTGGTGGCTTTCCAACTTACATGAGACCCCCATACTCGAGTTGCTCTGACCAATCCGGTTGTGTTCGAGAATTAAATGACCTAGGATATCATGTCGCCTATTTCGATGTGGACACGGATGATTACAATAATGACTCACCTTACCTTATTCAAGCCTCCAAGGACATCTTCGATTATGCTCTTGCTTCTGCTAAGCCCTACGGGGGACCTTTACTGGTTATAGCTCATGATGTTCACAAGCAAACTGTCTACAATCTTACCTCTCATATGTTGGATGGTATATATGCTGCGGGCTATCGAGCAGTTACGCTGGGAGAATGTCTCGGAGACGACCCCGAAAACTGGTATCGTTGGATCCCTTCGAAAAATTCCCAAGATCACTAGTCAATGTCGTCTAGAAAGACAACACCGAAAACGATGAGACGAACTTGATCTGATGCCATACGTATACTCAACGGATATGCACAATTATCCACATGGTCTGATGGATGATCCCAAATTCCTCGCTTCGCATTTTTTTTTTTTTCTTCATGTTCATGTTCATGTCCATGCCTCGATGTATATGCCGTGTTGCCATGCTCCCTTGTTTGCTCCTTGCACGTTGTTTTTGTTCTGATTGCTTACATGAACTCTAGTGCTTCTCCTTATCCGTACTTTCTTCTACACATGACTATCATTATCGTTACAGGGGCGTTGCTGTCAGGACTTTCTTAGACTTGCAGGATTCCATGTCCCCTTACCATGTTGTAGATTTCTCTTTGAACATCCATCTGGATTAATTTCTTCGGCATTTGATACGTTCCTCTCCAACAGACAGCACATGCGAATGTCACTACAATCCTCGCCCTCGCGGAGACTACGGCCGTAGAGTAATCTCCTGACTTGGTTTGTTCAACAAACTTCGTAGCATATGCTTGATCCCTTTTCTGGGCAATAAACCTGATCCAGGACGGTGACCAGGTATCTCGTACGTATCACGGACAAGAGAGAAGCAGGGGATATCGGTGTACGGAACAAGTAGAGAACTCGTGCAGGGGTAAGGAGTGGGAGAAATAAAAACAGTAATTATTACACTTAACAAATAATAATATATTCGTATTATAGGGTATAGACGTCCTAAAAATAGATAACAGGTCATGCGCCGACGCGTAAATCAAGCTGAACAATGAATGATTAAACATATCGTCATTGGTAAAGCATACAATCGGAAGTATATGCCCCCCTCCTCTTCCCTCCGTCCGACGCCTGTAACCTCCTCCCTGACCTTTCCAGCGATGAATAAACAACTGTGGAGACTGAACCCTGTCGATTGCTGGAGGCAGTGTGACATAACTCCCGAGTCCAGCGTGCGGAGATACTACGCCCCTTAAATTGTGTGTATTTTCTATTTTCTAACCACCTTCAGCAACGGTGCGATCTTCGCCGTACGGCTCAGGCCGACGCGGTATGGTGCCTTCTTGTTTATCATGATGGGACTGTGTTTGTCTGGGCCCCTTTGTACTAACATGGGGGTCTTTTGGGGTGTTTTGACTGGCCGGGGCGCTGAGGTCGTTGTTGACGATTGCGATTGTGGCTGTAATTGAGACTGAGGGGAGGGGGAATGAGACGCACATGTAGGGCTGGGTGTCATCGGTTTCATTTGCTCTTGCTCGTTAAGTTGTACTACTTGATCGGCTTCTTCTGCGGCGCCAGCATCTGTCGTGATATCCGGTTTGGAGTCTTTTTCCCCCGGGGCCTTTTTCAATGTAGGAATATTCTGATCTTGCTCTGCGAGAGGCAGTAGAGACTCCATAGTTAGGCTGTCTGATGTCCTCTTCCGCTTTCGACCGCGTTTTTTGAGCTCAGACGCAGACACGGTGGCAGCAGAAGTAGGGTCAAACGGAATCTGCTGGATTTTGTCGAGTTTCACATCACTTTCGTCCACCACTTTTTCTTCAAGAGGAATTTCTTCCTGGATACTCTCGGTCTGGTTGCCAAGGGGCTCTCCCTTGCTATCCTCGCCGCGTTCAGCTTTCCGACTCTTTGATAATGAATCGTTCGCCTTATCCTTGAATGAAACATTTGCTGGCTTCTCGTCCATCCATATCACATCATCTTCGACATCTGATTCTAGAGCCGTCTTCAACATCGCTGAAGTGGTCTTTCCCCGCTTAACCTTCTTCTTCGCTGATTTGAGTGGTCGTTTAGATGCTTCCAGAGGGACATCCTGAGTCATGGCATTTAACGAATTTTCTTCTGGGGTTTTCCTTGTTTCTGCAACAATTGAGTCTCTGGCATCGCGTGATGGACATGATTGTACGACTGGGAAATCCTCACGCGGCACCATAACTTCAACGTAAGGATCGCCACCAACACCAATCCCGTCTCCACCCATACCAGGGTCAATCACAGCTTTACTCCTCGACCTACTCGGCCGTGGTTTGTAGCGTTCTTTCGGGATACCACCAAAATCGATACAGTCCAATTCATCCTGATCACTCTCCATCCCAGCATACTCTGCAACTGATTGCTTCTTCTCTGACATCGCTGTCGGTCTCATATTGGTTATCGCAACTTGAACGACGGGAGGTAGGGCAAGCTCATCGCAAGCACTTTCTGTTGATGATTGTGGCGGTTGGCGTATGAAAGATGACGACATTGTCCTGTGTGGTCGTGCGAGGGCTACGGAAGACATTAATTCAGTATCGTAAGCAGTATCGTCAAATCCTTGCGTGGACTTTGATCGCACGATCGGTTGCTTTTGAGAGTGGGCTTCTGACCCAGTGGCTGGAGGCGCTGGTATGGTTTCAGCTGTAAAGGAATGATTTTCAGGAATAACCGGATCTTCAATTGGCACACCTTCTTCGCAAGTGCCATCTCCATCGTCCTTTGTCGGGGATAGAGAGGATTCAGTAGCAATCATTCGTTCAGTCGACCATTCCTCGCTGGCACCATAGCTACCCTCCTCACCTTGCTCTCGCGAACCAGCAATGCCCACACGTTTCACCACGGCACCCTGAAATGCCTCGGACACACTCATGGTCCGTCTCCTCTTAATATTCTTTTCCCTTACAACAATATCATCCACTTCTGTATTACCAGCATCCATCGTCCTCCCCCTTTTCAAGATACTTTTCCTGGGGGACTCCACCACCATAGGATATGCACCGTCCCCGTCCTCTTCCCCCAGCCACGCCCTCTCCCTCCGTTGTTGGGACAATGAAACGGGGCCTGTAGCCGTCTGATCCTGTGATTGTGACGTGAGGAATTGATGGAAGTTGACGCTGATAGTGGGATCGAAGCTTCGCGCACCGTGGGTATTTGGGTGGAGATCAGCGCCGCTCCCTATCCCATTGATGGTTTTCTCTGCCAGCTGATTATTATCATCATTATCGCCATTACGGGGATATTGTGAGTGCTGATCAGGGGGAAGAAAATCCCTTAGGATAACGACAGACTTGGCGGTGGTTTTGTTGTCTTGAAGGGGGTCAATAGATGTAGCGATATCGCTCAGTTCAGCGTCTGACTCGTCTGAGTCTTGGATTACGAGGTCGGACGGCATCTCGCTAGATAATGGTAATGTGGTTGGAGGGGCGTATGCGTCTGGAAGTCCCGCGGGGGACAGATTATGTGCTTGAAGCCCTGCTGATGAATAGCGACGAGGGAATACAAGCCAAATTCCACCCAAACGCGACCAGGGCGCGGAGTCACGTGTTGATAAGATAACAACGAGCCCCTCAGACGTCCAAGAAGTTGATTGACCACTCTGTTCAAAATTATCTAATTAACAGTACTTGTCCTTCATTTTTATTTATAATTCATTTGTAATGTGACATTCCTATTGAAAATTAATGCGGAATGATATGTACCCCGCTAAACCACATGCCGTGGTGCTACCGTTTTCATCAGTACCGCGCACACTATGTATGGTTGTCTCGCGGTTGACAACTGGAGGGATGCCAATGTCCCGTTGCAGCACAAACTCCCTGTTTGTTTTGGCAGGGGATAATTTTGGTTGCATAGAACCAGTGTCGCCGAACACTAGTGGCAGATTTGACTTCGTCAGGTGAGATCCACATTTTTTCAGCCTGGTGCATTGAGGCCGGTCTGCTCATTGCTCCATGGTTCGCAGCAGCCCAGCTAGATTTGGAGAATATCTGCTTTCACAGTCTTGAGGGTCGCGATACAGAGAGTTCAGTACCTGGATGAATGATCATTGAATCCTTTCCACACACTTTTAAACGTACATTTGCAAAAGACGAAGCCCAAATATACCATGACTACATCATTGATCTATCTCCCATGTTCTAACCCTTGTGTCTAACCCACTAGCGTCCATAATTGATGGATTTCAATGTCGATCAAGGAAAGAAATAGAGAGCATGAGGGAAAAAAAAAAAAGATCAAAAATAGCCAACATCAACTGGAGCCTGTCTGAGTGCTAGGAGGCGCAGTAACAGTCTATGTCTTTACTTTCGCGCGGTCCACCCGAGGTCGACACTTCAAAGCCACCAAATATGCCAAACTTCACATGACGTGATGAGATGACGGTGCAGTGCAATAGCTGCATCATTCAGACGAGCTTGGTGCATGTTGTAGATCCAAGACTGTCTGAATATGTATGAGGATGATGGAGCGTAACAGGAGATGTGGACACCAATGCTTTTTTTACTGACAGCGTTATATAGATGTGTATATTATGGATGCACCTGCCTGTTCAAGTGCTCCTAGTTAGTTTGGTGAAAGCAAATATGGAACAGCACCAATCCTTCCTAAAACCTCCTCGCGTCGCTTTCAGCTCATAATTTCTACATCCGCATCGAGCCTGTCATCAGATAACACAACGAAGCTCAAACCTCAATAGTCTTCCTAGCATTGAATGCGTTTTGCTTCTGTCTGATATATCCCCAAAGATTTAGGACTGTCGATGGAAAGCTCCCTGAGATCTGAGACCCATTCTTCGCTTTATTTGGAAGCACGTTTTGGAAGCACGTAGCCCCGTTGATTGCTAACAAGCTTCACTTGCCAATATCGCCGGCCAGAATCAGACGAGCCGCGCGGTATGATATGGAAATCCGAATACTGTTGACCAACTTCAAGGTGAAGGTCAGACATTATTTGAAAACGAACACTCTTTCGTGAGCGGTATGGCCATAGTAGTCTAGTAGTGGACATTAGGAAAAGCAGAGTGGCTAGTATGGATGACAGGGGTTTGCAAGAGATAGAAAAAAAAATGATGGTCTGGACTGGCAATGTTGAGAAGGATTGTTGTTGGTAAGAACGGAGTCCGTTGGTTTGTTGCTGTTTGCAGTTAGCAGGGTTAGTTGACTTTGTTTATTTTATTGCCTTTTACTATGTTCTCGCTACCACTATTTCTACATGTGTATATATACATCTGCATGTACTCCACACATCTTCTTTTCTCTTTCTTTTCTTCTTTAGTGATTAGCTACTATTATCTCTTGCCACTATTGCTATTTACTATATTAATATACACTGCTTACTATCTTCTGCTATTCACTCTTCACACCGTCATCAACCCTCACACCATGGACCAATGACATGTCAATATCAGACCCACATTGTTACGTGCTTTGATCTCCGTCGAACGGCTGGCAGAAGATATCCAAGGAGAAAACAAAATCTATATTGATGGAGCAATTGAAGAACTATCTAGTATAGATACAAAGTGAGAGATTCATAATCGGGCGAACTCTCGAATATCAAAGGAGCGGCAGCTTTTGATGGTGGATTTGGCTATTAACATGGTCTCTTCAGAATCCTCCTTCCCATGAATTTTTATCCTCCTCCAAGAAATTGGTGTATATGCTCAGTGGACAACCCGTCGCCCTCCATACTCGGGAGATATATTCGGTGCGTTTTTTCAGCTTCTGTCGGGAGAGGGAAAGGGACGTTTGTTGCATAGTATGGCAATCTGACTGAGCTGTCCGTGGTTATTGGATGGTGACGAGAAGAGGAATGGAACGGTGTAAATTTAATTGTTGGGTAAGAATCTCTCAGGTGGTCGCGGCGGCTTGGGTTTAGGAGCTAACTTAACAATGGTAAGGATTTTTTCCTGCTCGGGCCCTCCCGTAATATCGATGTTGGTTGGGCTTTGTGCCCACAATAAAAAGTATCAACCACTGCACCTTTTGGGAGTGGGAAGATCATCCACTGCTTCTGTCCAAAATATTATTACACGCTCCCTTAAGAAGTTTGAGATCTGCTTCCGATTTGGATACCACATTGGTGAAACTACAGAAATAACTTCGCAAGGTGCAAAAGCGCGACAAATAGGTCAAAAAAGAGAGCCATTCCTACAATTCTCGGTTCCTTACTGACAGGGCAAAAGGGAAGTCGCCCCGCGAAATGGTTTTCGAGGTGACCACAACGCTATTTTCGTGGTAACAAATGGCGATCAGGCCATCTCTTCCAAGTGACGGGCAAGATTCAAAATGGAATGACTGTCGAAGATAAACCCGGCAAGAGAGGAGTCTGCGAGTTTTCAAAGCAAGGATTTTGTTGGAAAGGTGTCGGCAGCAAACTTCCCTCGTGTCAAGGCGATCTGTGAGGCAATTCCTGCATCAAAAAGGCAGTTCGAGGGTCCTCGGCGGCTCTATCCTGAAGAGCCGATCAGGCGTTGCCAGGAATTGGACAATATACTTAATTAAATGGGCATGTAGAATAGTCCGGATGATAATAATTTATTATTGTTCTAATCAGCCGTGTTGATGGAATCTATTTATGCTTCCTTGGTCGCTTCAATACCTGCGTCTGTTGGGTGAAGGAAGTATTGGGTGTAGCTTCTGCTGAAGCGACAAGGCTGGCCTGACTTGATTGGCTGGCATCCTCATCTAAAAATGACGGGGCGTTTGATCGAGAGGGTCCAAGGTCTGACTGTGAAACATCAAAACTAACCCCGGAAGGGATCTCATCAATGGCAGACTGGATCCTTCTCAGGTGATCTGGCATCCACACATCGTATACATTCTTGGTAAACTTGTATGCACTCCACTTATCCTTCCCCTCCTCACTGGTAAAGTCAAATGTTCTGATTGGGTGACGGTAGAATGATGTCTTGTTCCCCTCGATGACTGCATAATGGCCGTATATTCTCACTGTCCTGTGGTCATGCGAGATCGAGAAAGCCAAGATCTCGCGATTGATCTCCTCCTCACGTCCCACAAGTTTAAACAGCTCAACGACACCTCTTACAGCAAGGGTCATGCTGTGTGCGTTCTGTCGGTCAGCGATGTCGAGCGCGGCAGTGCCCTTCACTTCACTGGTCAAGAATGGAAAGTACATGTAGAAGGTGGCTAAGAAGAAGGAGCTGTAGGTATCCGGGTCGTAGCCGAGGAAAGGCTCAAACGTCTTTAGTTGGTCTTCTGTGAACGCAGAACGGTTGAACCCTACCGCATAATCAGGCTGAGGATATGGTCCACAGAGAGCAATGGAGGAGTTCCACTGTTCATTAACACTTTCAACCAAGTGTTTAAGGTTCCTGTCCCCATCAACTGCGAGAGATTCTGCCGAAGGCACAATTAATCGAGATATATCTTGGATAACTCTTGACTCATTCTTTCCTTGTAGCCTTTGACAAAATTCGTCAAATATATCATCTCGAAATAGCGTGTGTTTGGGAACAGGTTGATCCTTTTTCAGCAACTCCTTAAGAATTTCCTTGCTTCTATCTGTTATTCCTAGATCTGACTTGCGCATGAAGCTGCCTTTAGTAGCGAGAACGGTTTCATATGTAGCACTTCTGTACCTGACACTCTTTGTGTTTCTCGACTCTTGATCAGTAGGTGTGTTGGAACTTGTAACAAGGCTTGAATTTGAGCTTTTATGAAGAAGAGAAGCGGTTGACTTCTTCTTTGCAAGAAGATGGCTCATCTTTTCCATCTGTCCAGGCTGTGCTCCAAAATATTCTCTAGGCCAGCAATCGTTTTTGCACCAATGTCTGATCAGATCAACCTTCTTCCAGCTGGCAGTATCACGCAGATCTTCCACAAAGGGATGTTCAATTGCTGAGCTCGTGGACGGTCGGGGTCGCTTTGAAGTGCGGTGCGGTTGATCTTCACAGTGCCATTCATGATTTGATTTCGTATTCTGGTTTCGGTTGTTGGTGCGTGTGGGAGGCTCCCCCAATAGCTTTGTCTAATCAGTATCATGCCAGTCTGTCATACGATCAAAGAAGTGCACATACAGATGGAGGGCAGTTTTTAGTGCTTAGACGCGCGCTCCTGCGATAGAATTTCGATTGCTGTTCCTGTTCCTCTGTCTTAACTCGCTTAACTTGCTTCCCTATAACAAATCAGTCGTAAGTACAGCGGAGATGGTCTGGATATTACCTTTGTCTTCGGGTGCCCGGCGTTTTCTAGCCAAAATTAGCGTATGGCACTCAGGTTTATCAATATGACGAGCCATTATGGAGATAGGAAATGGTGGGGTGTGGCCTTTCAAGTCGAAGGAAGAAGGGGCGAGTGAGTCAAGACACAGCTGCGGGGAACCGATGCAAGTTGGGTTAAACGCTTAAATGTTCCTTTGTCTCAAGGAAGTTATGGGGCACGTGATATAATCTGGAAGGGTTCGCTGGGCTCTTTAGTCTCCGCGATTTTCCTATCGGTAATATCGTGACATATTTGCTGCATGAGAAAGAAAAGAAAAATGCAAGAGAGGCCGCATAACTTAGTGTGAAGGAGGTCTGTATTTGACTATCTAAAAATATCCAGTATTTTTTATCATAGCCAAGTGTAAGGCAAAAAGAGGAGGTTTGATATCCTGCTCCTTGGCCTCTCGTGGTGCTTCAAGACACCCCATCTGGAGTTCGGGCTCAGCTACCTCCTTCGCTTCGCATTTCAAGTGGTCTTTGATCCACATTTTTAGGTGACATCACTTTTGTATTTGATCTTAGGGCCTGTTCGGTGACCCCGTCCAGGGCCGTATAAGTCTGTACAGTGCCAGCTATAGGACTTATACAGCTCTGTACGCGCTAATCTGGCCGAAAAAGGCCTGCTGTTCGGTAGATTTTGTATATAACCCTGTATAACTCACCAAGAGTGTCAAGCTGACTTCAAAATCCACTTTATAAAGTGCAACAGTGTAATTAGTTGAAAAAGTGATGAATTTAAATGTGAGGGTTGATAACAGTGTGAAGAGTGAATAGCAGAAGATAGTAAGCAGCGTATATTAATATAGTAAATAGCAGTGGTGGTAAGAGATAATAGTAGCTAACCGCTAAGGAAGAAAAGAAAGAGAAAAGAAGATGTGCGGAGTACATGTGGATGTATATATACACTAGTGAGCACATAGTAAAAGGCAATAATAAACAAATATATTGATGGAAATAACATAAAAGCAGTGCATTATACTATTAAACCCTGTTGTTGTTGATTGAAATGTACAGTCTTTGAGCCAATTTCCATCGCGAAACTCTGAATTCCCATCTACGCTTGCTGCATCTTCCGTAAGCTTTTGCATGTCAGAATCCATCTGGGTCTGTTCCCCTATCTAAACTCCTTCCCAAAATCCAATGGGAGGAAGATGTATTGCTCAACAGGTTTCTACACGGAGATTTCTGTCTGTAATAAATCCAAATGACAGTAGAGATAACAATAACAGCAAAAAATAGTAAAAATATCACTGATGACACTGATGTCACTAATTCAATTACAATAATTGAATTCTCGTTCTATTTATGGGGTTAGTTAAACGTGGCATATATATGTATCTTCTTCATAACTCGGCATATAAGGGGTCATTCCACATTCCACATACCAAATTAAAAACTATCGCTACTCATAAACCTTCCATCCTAGCAAAACAAACACGCAACTGAGAAATTTTTTGAAAAACATATATATATATATATATAGCAGAAACAAAACCAAATACTACTCTACATTATTCGCCCTCATGACCCCCCGCCCAAAAAACTCACTGACAGTCCCAAACCGATCTCGACTCCGCTGCAACTCACTCTTAAACATATCGTGCTGGCCAGCAGACTTAATCTGCCTTTCGCGGATAGCTCGAATAGTCGCATTCTGCGGCGCACATACAGGACACTCAGCGTCCTCATCAACCCTGTTAAGACACCTTTGGTGGAATGAGTGCTTGCAGAGGAAGTGTACGGTGGGCAGGTCTAGTCTATCGTGGCAAGAAGAGCAGCTGCGTGCTTGGAAGACGAAGGGCCTGGTGCCTAGCTCGTCGATTTCTTTTTGCTTTGCCTCGGTGTCGGCAGTGTAGCTGGATATTAGGCAGCGGTTCTATGGGTTGCGTGTGCATTTTGTTAGTTGGCGAAAGGAAAGAAAGGGGGGGATATGGAAGATAAGATACGCACATTTGCAATGTCCTTCCGTTCCCTCTCGATATTGTCGCTGAGATACTTCTTTATCATTCCCATTGTCACCACCGCATTGTTGCTCAGTGCCTGGATCACCTGCAGCGGAGCCATTAACCCATCCTTATCGATCTTTCTGAGAACCTCATGCAGCTCGTCGCCGGCTTCTTCGAGGATCTTCGGACTAGATGAGAAGTACGCTAGGGCGTCGATGTATAATTGAGGCTCTTGCGGGCCATATTTTCTTAGAGCTTTGATGACGCCAGCAGTGTCTTTGGCCGAGGTGTAAGAGCGGAATATATCCGAACACAAGCCTTGCTGTTCTCGGACTAGGGTCGTACCCTCCCGGAAATTCGAGAGGTCGGAGAGTAATAAAACATTCGAGGTGGATACGGGAATCTGTGTGAGTGCCATATATCATCAGCCACAATTGACGAAAAAGTTCAAAAGTGAAAAAAAAAAAAAAAAAAAAAAAAAAAAAACAATAATAATATCCGCGTACATTTTTCCCTTCAATTAACTTCTTCGCCTTGCCCTCCCACTCCTGCCTCTCACCATCCCCCTTGGTATGCATCGCCGTATCCAAATACATCTCAAACAAAGTCGTATACAGATCCACCCTATCCTCCTCTTTCAGATTATGCTGTTTAATCAACTCTTCTAGAAATTCTATAAACTTCTGCGGCTGATCCACGAATGCTGAAAAAGCACTACGCGCTTTCGGTATGTCATATTGAATTGGTGACTCGAGCTCTGGGGATAATTGCGGCTGGGCAGCCGGGGCTTTCGGTCCCTGTGATCCTGGCAATGGGATGAAGGAGGTTAGACTTTGGATGGCGCTTCCGGTTTGTGGTTGGGGTCTCTCTGCCGGTTCCTCTTCAGCTGTTCGCCGGGGTCGGAAGCGACCTGTATAATACTGGATGAAAAGCTTTGTGGTCTCTTGTGGGCAATGGCCTAGGAGAACACGAGCATATTTCATGAGGTTTGGATATGCCTGTCGTCACAAACCAGTTGTTAATAGTAGATCAATATTATCGGGTATATTAACTTACAATATCAGGCTCCAGACTCCAGATATACTTCAATGCCTCTTCATATTTCCGAGAGTCTTCAATCAAAATGTCGATCACCATGTCGTTTTCGTTATGTCTTTTCGCTAGGTATGCAGCTTGCTCGTAATAACCGCCCTGTCGACACATCGCAATGGCAGTCTCTAGGTCAAATTTCAGTTCACCGGGAGCCTTGATGAACGAATCGAGCTTGCTGGTGTCTTTTAACTTTGCATAACAGTTCAAGAGTAGCGTTGTATGATCAGCAGTCGCCTTTTCATGATCGTGGAGCTCTTCGAGATATTCGATAAGGTTGTGGATACGTTGGGTATCTAGGAACTATATTGTGCGTGTGTAATTTTTTAGCAAGCTTAAGCTTCTGCTACGTCGATCAGCGAGATGTGAAAAGCATTACCTTTCGAATAACCTGGGAGGGTTCTGTATTATTAATTGCGCGTAGATATTGTTGCATTGCAGTATCATAATCCCCCTTCTGATATAGATAATCGCCGTATTTGCGGAAGATGATATTTTGCTGTAGCGTATCAATACCAGCTTTCTGGGCAAGATTGATAGCCAAAATATAAAGGTTTCGCTGGTAGAGGATTTCCAACTTCTGCTGGAGAGACTTTTCACGATATCGATAAACCTATTTTCATCAAAATTATATTTTTCAGCAAGAGAGCTCCCTTCTCGTAAGAAATCCAGAGGAATAGCGGCACGAACCATCCCATCCACACTAACAATAAACAAATCACCCCACTCCATAAACACATATTTCACCCTGGATGGGAATGACTCAGTGTGAGCAACAAATTTCAAATCTGGCTCTAATATCGTAAACGTCGATGTAGTCAAGATTTCATCAACCTGTCCGCCACCACCGCTACCACCAAGCCGTCGGAGTGCATCAGAAGACTTCGGCAACGCCGGTCTAGGCGGACAGATGAGCGCTATATAATCCCTAAACGCATTTATGGACGTCTTCGGACTCTCAAACGCAATGCTAGGACCCCGGCCACCAGAAACGCCGTATGTGTATATCGCATCTTCGCGAGCAAGTATTATATCGCCCGTTTCGCGATCGATCGTCATACAACCCACGCCACAGCCTAGGTCCTCAAGCGCGCGGGCGGGTTGGCCCTGGCCCTTGCCCGCAATGACGAGTGTGAGGATCCGGCCCGTCGTAGCGATGTAGAGGGTCGTTACGGGCCCGTGCTGGATTTCCAGGCCGGTAATGGGCTCTTCGGATTCAAAGACTGTGCGTTGCTTTGCGCCTCGGTCGTGGATTAGGTCGCCACGGATCACAGTGACGGAGCCATTTGCAAAGCCGACAGCAAGCTGGGATAGGTCTGGGAGGATGACGAAGGCGGATACCTGGCAGAAGAAGCGTCAAGAATGAAAATATCAAATGTGGAACGAAAGGAAAAGAGTCAAGTCACCATACCGGAAATTGCCTCCGTCCATTGTGCACTTGGACCGTCGACAAACACTTCGGTGACCCGGTTTTCTTCTCTTCCTTATCCAACGCCCAGACCTTCAACACCGGGTCGTTCAGCAGGTCCTCCGAGATGGTGACGATCAGCGAGGTGGAATCAACCTGCCTCATGTGCGTGATGGAACCTGTGTCGTGTGCTTTGAAGGTGCGCAGTACCTTGAAGGTCTGCGACAAGATGTGGACGATGCCATCGGATGTGCCGAGGAAGAGGTTCTCAGAGCCAGAGCAGATGCTGCTTATGTCCCCCTGCAGGGGTCGTATGGTATTCTCGTTAGTATATCATATACATGTGTGTGCGTAATGTGTATGTGAGACACGGGCGCATCGCATACATTGAAGATCGAGCTATCGTCGTCCGGGAATTGGACAGGGGCGACGTCGAAGAAGTTAAACGTTTTCCACTTTACATTTCAATGTTAGCTTGGTTCTTTGCTTATTGATTCGGAGTAAGCAAGGGAAAATGGGCCGCTTACCGAGGTCAAAGCCATTTCCTAGCACCGGCGCCATGGGGCGGAGGAGGTCATGAAGGGAGGATAGATAGATGTTGGAGTTGGCAGTTGTGGTAGGCGGCGGGATGACGTTCCTTCTGGACCGAGCTAAGCAAGCAAGCTTATTGGAATACAGACTAACCACTAAAGACGCCTAAACAGCTCGCATTCATTTGGCATACTAGTTACATATATCAAAATAGACATGACACGGTGTCAAAATTATTTTCCTTTCATAGACTTGACTTCGAATGCTAGATGTTTATCAAAGAACTAATTTACGGAAGTCCCAGCCGTTCAAAGGAAACTCTCTGATCTTCTAGCATTCGTCATGCACGCTTAACGCTAACTACACCATGGATTCAATGTCTTAATATATGTTTAAATACTTCTGTACTTCTGTACTTCTGCGCAGTAGTGCTCAACGCTCTATCGCCAATAAAATAAACCCAACAAAAAGATATAAAGGAAACAGTAAGATCCTCCAACCACGGAATGTTGGGTCAGCAAGGAAGAAAAGATGAGAACACAAAATCCCGATCACTGCCCAGGTGTATTTGGCTTTAGTATCGACTGCAACTTCGTGCCTGACGAAGCTGGTAGGAACGGTATCTCATATTTAGCACTGCCGCTATTACTATTTTCATTGGCATTGCGGCTTCTCGTATTCCCATGACTTTTGATGCTGTTCACGCTGTTCGTGTTATCACCCTGAGTGACCCTCTCAAGGTCTACCTTGTCAAAATCCCAGGTCCCCAAAAATGTCCCTGCCTCCGCGATCGCCTGGCTCAGGTCGAAATTTTCCCAGCCCGGACCCTGGCCCTGGCAGTCTTGGTATCCCCGTGTGTCGTTTGTGGAAGACGTGAGGTTGAAGTGGGGGAGTGTGGACGCTGGGTTCGAGCTCTGTGACTCGCCGGATGGAACACACTGAGAAAGTTTTTGGATGCTGATGCTGGCGCAGGGTGCGTTGAAAGTGTGGCTTGAGAGGCATGGCGGAGATGTAGCTTTTGGCGATGGTGAATGTGATTGACTTCGAGAGTGAGAGATGGGCGATAAGGGATCATTGAAGACAGCTGAGTTTCGGGCTCGGTTTCCATTTTGTTGTTGTTTCTGTTGACCCTTATTTTTTTCAGCCGCATCTGCTGTCGCCGCTTCAGCTTCGGACCTTTTCCCGGGTTTTATCCTCTTTACTGTGCTGAAAAATGGAGTGATTGCTCGCACGTTCGATATGCTAGCCTCGGATAAATATGACCGCTTGATTTGCTCGTTACCCACAGCTACCTTCGAGGCTTTATTGGCTTTTGGCGCCTTTGTATCGTCCAGCTTGGCTGGTATCACCAACTCATCCCGTACAAGCTTTTGAGCACTGGGAACAGGTGCCTGCGTCGACAAGTGCTCCTCATATCCACCGTTTTGACTTCCACGCCTAACAGCGCTGGAATAGGCCGCCGAAAAGTTCGTGGAATGGAGAGACATAGTTGGAATTGGAAACTTGAAATGGTCTGGGAATATTTGGGCCGATGGTATCGTTGCTGACGCTGTCGCATTGCTGGAGATTTGCGGACTGTCTTGCAATCCATCTTTTCCAGTAGGGGTTGGATCCGCCGGCAAAGTGTGGGAGCTATTATTTATCTGACTCTTCTCTGTGCTCCGCGGTAAGGTTTTATGCTGCAACGGTTGAGATCGACAATGTTTGTCACGTTCGATGTTGCAATTAGAGTTCGAAATTGTATCCGAGCTTGATGCGGGCTGGTCATGGAGGCGATATTGAGACTCTGGGAAGCCGTCTGTAGAAAGTCCAGCTTGAAAGGATCCCGGGGTTTGTATCATGGTTACTGTTTTACAGGCCGTATTCTCATCGAGAGGAGGAACCTCTCGCTTTTTCTTACTACTGGAATGGCCCGTGAAAGCGGAAGCGGGCTTGCCGGGTTTTGAAAAGTGTGAGCCGCCACCTGACGACCTCAAACCCTTCCCGGACGAGAGCCCTTCTTCCGGAAGAAGCTGTCCGGTTGTTTTAGATGATGCGGAGCTTAACACTCCCTGTCCATTGATAGGAGTAAACGCAATACGAGGAGGGGTGTAGCTCCTGCTGTCATCATTGACCAAATCACACACCCGTTGTCTTTTCTTGTCGTGTGGTCTTCCTGCGCCATGTCCAGATTTTACAGAAGGGCGTGGCCGATAGCCAGGGGTTGGACTGGAGCCTGTTGAGCGTTCGTACTCTTCTAGATGTGGTCTCCTTTCATCAGTCTTCAGCCAACTGTTGTTGGCGTCAACTGAACAACGATTTGGTGTGGATGAGGATATAGATCGATGAGTTCGTTCAGTTGTTGTTGAATTCACTTGCGCCGATGTTGCTCGGGGTTTTGAGAATATACTATTTGAAGGCATTCGTCGAGCATTGTTAAATACATCCGCTCCTAGCAGTCCGCTATCCTTACTGCTCGCCTGTCTTTGCACTTGGTTGGATTGGAGTTCTAGAGTTTGCTCTGGTTCGAGAGACGACTCAAACCCACTTCCCTGACGGCGAACCCGGGGGGGTCGGCTCGAGGGGCGTTTCAGAGGCGGCGAGGGAACTTCTGAGGGCACCGCTATAGAGGGTTGGACACCATTTTTCAATCCCCTTTCCCTATCTTGTTTTGGCAACGATAGCTTTTGTGGTGGTGTCTTATCCGTTTCCTTATTCCGCTTCCAGGGGTTCACCCATCCATTTTCCAGGGGTCCCTTTAAACCGGCGGAGAAAATAAACAACGGCCTTCCCTCCAAGTAATCCTGGCCCAACCTTTCAATTTTCCTCCATTTCGCAGCTCGAGTAGCACGGTCTAGTCCATCGTCGCTATCAGAAAATTCACTCAGAAGCTCTGAGGGTAGAGGGGACAGGGGTTCAAAGTGTAGTGGAGAGGTGTGGCGCTTGAAAACCATGGCCTCCAGGGACGGTATGAGCCAAGGGTGAGGAATGGGGAATTCAATGACAGGGACGTCGAGGGCGGCATTTGGAGATCGAGGAGTAGCTTGACGGTATAGTATACTTCTGCGGGGATGTTGAAGCCTGCTCTTGGAGGAGCTTGTGGCCTTGATGGAGGCCTGAGCGAACTGTGACAAGCAAGAGCTCCACGTCATATGGTCCCGTGTCCCACTTAACGCGCTAAGCGTAGAATTCTAAGTTTCGGGAGCTACGGCTGGTTGCTGGGCCAACAAAGTCGTTGATGCAGGATGCAGACTGAAATCGGGCTTGGATCCTGGAATTCGACAAAGGCACACACAGTCTAATCTGCGAAATAGCATTTACATTTTTGTTAACAGGATGAGAGGTGAACGATGTGTAATTATCAGTGCGTTCAGGTAAACGCGCTCATTATGGCGCCTGATCTCGTGGATCTGATAATCTCACCGTCGCCGTGCTACATTGATGTAATGGACATGCATCAGCCGCCGTGGAGATCTTTCTAATATTATCTATCCGTACGTAATACGCAGCACTCTATTCTGTACATCTGTATATAGTTACACTTCGTGACTGATTGATATATTCCGCACTTGAGTTAGCCCAACCGTCAGAGGCGGCAGGAACATCTGTTTTTCCGAGTGTTGCCCGCATTTGGCAGGATGTTGTTGTTTTCTTGGCGCCGCCCTGACCAAAGCATAATGATATCAAACTCTCCACAACCTGGGCTATATACATTTCCACAACTTCAACAACATCTCTTATCCTCAGCGCCGCCTAACTAGCTGATGGCCCATTTTTAGTCCACAGGCCTTCCTCTTATATATCCTTATTAACTGACCATTATGTATCCTCTCTCCGCAATCCCTACTCCTCCAAGATCGCACACTTCCCTTCCACCTCTTCGTTGAGCCTCCCTCACCCTCTTATTAATTATCGACCTCTTGACTACATAACCCTGAATCCAAATCAAGCTCAACATGAGTAAACAGCAACCTTGGCTAGATGACCTGTCTGAAGACTGGATCCCACAATCTCGCTCCTCACAAACTTCCTTGCGCGACCGCATCTCCAACTCCTTCAAACGCTCGTCACGCGGCCAGTCCGCCTCTCCGCCCACCAGTGTTTCTTCGTCGCAAAACAAACCATCCTTCTTCTCCCGAAATTTGCGCAAAACATCAGAGCCACTCCGCTTATCGGACGTCGAAAGCAACAATAGCAACGTTTCGTCCAACCACACTTTTTCCATGATCAATGTTGTCACCTCGAGTGTCGGTCCAAAAGGCAAGATTGCTCGTACCACATGAAGAAAATTTTCATTCATTAGTCCGTAACTAATGAGAAATGCTTTTTATTCAATATTGCTATAGTATCCGTACAAGTTCAATCCGAAAATACCCCTATCACAAGTTGTACCATGCGCAGAAGACCCCAAAGTAAACATACCAAAGAAGACAGTACCCCAGAATGGAAGAAGCGTCTTGATCGCGGTGAAGGTCCGATGGGAGAAGGGGGCGACTTGTTCGGCCCCATGGAACTGGAGAATGTGTTTAAGCCGCCGCCTACCCATACTGAACCAAACGCAAGGTCGAATCTTTTTACATCCGTGCAGACCCAGGTTGATCAGCCACGGTCGCTACAGCCTTCAAAATCGCCCAGCGACAAGCTGCCAGACGTTTTGCTGAAAGATTTGGATGATTCCCGGACTAGAAGCGGAAATTCTGTTGGTGATGGCCAAGACAGTGTGGAGAGATATAGTACGTCCTTAGACAACGCTAAATGCTGGTTGGGGGACGGTGTCCACGCGAGCGAAAGTGCTAGCTTTGATCCCAGATCACGAACTGTGAGCGGTAGGGAGGAACTGCGTAACGAGGAAATTACTCCGATCCTCTTCTCCAAGGACGACAATGATACCGCTGGCGATTACACAAATCAGGAAATTCTGGAGTCACTTCTTGAGCAAGTAAGAAACCCAAACCTAAAAGAAACCTTTCCCGATTTTCGCAGACACAATTCAGTTGCCAGTGATGATGGCAATTACCTCAGCCGTCGGGAACATCAAACGTTCACGGGAGGAATAGAGGATTCTATCGAAATGACCAGTCAGTCGCTACCTGAAGACTTATCTGTTGGAACAATGGATTTCGGCTCCACTGGTGGTGGCTTTGTAAGCATACGTCGTGGTGGTTATTCCAGTGATGGGTCATTTCGCCGTCGCCAACTTTCATCAACTTCTCTCCTCTCGCCGCTTCATTCAGCCTCCTTCCTGTCTAGCATCAGAAATACACCACTCAATGAGAGTCGAAAGGACACATTCAATTCACAGCAACAACACCCTCCCCCTCAATCATTCCTTACGCCACACCGCGCACGCCGCGAGACGAACGACTCAAGACCAAGATCGTCTGGTAGCCCCTTGAAGTTATTCGGGGAGTACGACACATTTACCAGTAACAAACTACTAAGAAGAATGAGTCAATTTGAAGAGTCATTTAATAACGGCCCAGATGAAGCAACCCCATCACCTACAGAAAACCGTCAGAAGACGGGAAGCCGAAGCCAACCGACTTCACGCCGTAATAAAAACCAAACAGCAACCACATCGTCCTCTCGAAGTTGCTGTGAAACTCCCACCAAATCGCCCTGCGAGGAGAACCGGAATCAAGCCAATTCCAGAGACCACTTGAGTTCAAATAGCTGCGGTTCATCAGAGCAACCAACCGACGGTCTCAGTCTGCTCCCCGCCCTTTCCCTGGTAATCACAACTGAAAACGGGATAGGACCATCAGATCTTCCATCTCGAGGAAGAGAATCCGGCAAACAAAGCCAAATACAATCTTCAAAACAACAACATGATCCATTTGGCCTCTCACAGACTAAGGGTTTTCCAGCTCCAGCAGCTAGGAAGAAGATGGGTACCCATCCAAATAATCCAGCAATGCAAAACGAAAATTGCGATGTAAATCCATTTAGACAGAGCGAGACGAAGAGGGTTTTGAACAGTCCGACGAAAGACCCGAGCCGAAAACGAAGGAGAACACTACAAAATATCGATCCCAATAATCAACTTCTGGCGTCTTCTCTTCTTGAATCTCCTCAATTTTCTGCCAGTTATAACAACCAAAACGACCAGAACTATGGACAGATTCAAGCTGGATGCAATGGGGAACGAGACGATGGTGACTTACAACTCCCACCTCGTCCACGAACGCCAACTCCCTCGCAAATAAGGTCTCAGGTTGGAAACCAAGAGATACCTAAAACTAAACATATTCACAAACCACAAGTTCCCCTTGATATCGTCCAACACGCCGAGAATAAACATGAGCACAAGCTCTCCTCTATCGCAAGCCCCAGTCATATCTTCGACGACAGTAGGAAAGTCTCAATTACCACGCAAGATTTTTTGAACGAAGCTACTAAGATCATGGACATAATACGTGCCCGAGGAAGCGCCAAGCATAATCACGGTTTGTCGAGTGTCGAAGAAACCGAACGTTTGAGTGATGTTGCTAGCGATCCGGACTACTCCTATAAGGATGCTGAAGAGCAGTCGACCCAGGAAGAGTTTTCAAGGCCGCCAAGTCGCGAGGGGGTTGTTGATCTTCGCAGGCTACGAGAGCAACCACGTAAGCAGCACCCGCGTATAGTGAGCCATTTGAAGAAGTTTGAAGACAAGGATGACTTTGGGCTTTATATGGGGGGGTCCGTAAAGTCCCTACGTCTTAATCGGGAACGGTATATGGCTACATATTCCATTAATAGGCAGGCAGATAAGCATGACGGCAATGAGCATGATGCTGTTGAAAACAGCACGAAGATGCATCTACGAGGATTGTCCGCCCCAGACCTGGAGAAAGGTGCAACAGGCACCTTTTCAAGTTTACCCAGCGGCTCTAATAGCCATGGCGGCGCGGATTCCCAGCAGGACATGTCATCGCAAAGGTCAGCTGGAAACTCATTGCCCACAGCATCTTCCCGGGGCTCTTCGAGTGGCTCTGGGGCCAAAGGGATCATATCTTCCGAGATGATAGCTCACTTGATACCCGAGCAGGTCGGTTCGATGACTTATGACCGCTCAGCGCATGCTTGGGTAAAGGGCGGAGACGTGGTGATACCTGCTGAAGAAAGATCATTAGTGTCGAATGCGATAGAAGACAACGCCATTATCAGTGAAGAAGACCCCTTTAAAGATATTCCGGACCTTAGCGTTGATGAGCTACAAGAGCTCATGGCTATGCAAACGTTTTCGTCGCCGGCAACGGCAAAAGGCAAACTATGTGAGATAACGGCTGCTTTTAGTGAACGGGGACCCAGTAATCTAAAAGAATCTCAGCAACAGCTTCAACAGTCGAAAGGCGAGAAAGGGGATGCAAGGGAGGATAATCGTCAGCAGATTCCTGATTTCCGACCAAATACACGAGATGGCGCACGTTTTGAGACAAGTTCCGTACAATCGAAATCCACACGGTTTACGTCGAGCTGTCCGAAGCCGGAAACCAGAGCTACGTCCTGGGGTAGTGAGGAGCTAGCTGCTCCTGGACAGCTTGCTGGAATTAATGATTTAGGAAATTGTTTAAAGTGTGATAGTGCCCAACCTTCCGCCGGCGAAAGGCGTGGTCGGGTGCCTACGATTTCGTTCTCGTCCCCTTTGGTATCCCATGTGGTGTACCGGGAGGAATCCCTTGAGCAGGAGCATCCGTTGCCATCTACGGCGTATCATGACCACCTCGGGTCTAATTGCTTCGGGTATTCTCTGAGCCATTCAGACAACCTACCGCGTCCATGCAGCCAAGGCTCCCCCTTCCGGATCTCTTCGGTCCAGAATAGTTCATTCGATAGTCGCACTTTCAAGGGAAGACCTATCTCCCGAATCGATGAGCGAACTGAAGAATCTGCCATTGATGACCATAATACTCAACATCATGACCTTTCTGTTATCCAAGCCCCAGGGCATGAGGACCACTCGATGATTTTACCAGGGAGCCCAAACATGGATAGCAGTTATAGCTTCCAGCTTGCCTCTCTGTCGGATTTTACGCTTCATCAAATTGATGAGTCTATGCGACGTGACGTTAGTTATGTTGCTGAGCGGACTCGTCCGACCTCTCTCAGACAGGTGCATGGGACATTTACTCTGGCGACTGAAGATTTGATTAAACATATTACTGACATAGAGCCTTACGAACCATACTGGGAACACCTACGTCGACTAAACCTTCGCAGCAAAGGTTTAATAACGTTACACAGACTGAACGAATTCTGTTCGCGACTTGAGGAGCTCGACGCATCCGACAATAACGTGGGCCAGGTTAGCGGTGTCCCCTCGGGCATTCGCACATTGAAGATCCCACGCAACTGCCTGTCAAACTTGACTGCATGGGGCCATCTATCTAACCTTCAATATTTGGATGTGTCGGGGAACAAGCTGGAGGATCTTGATGCGTTTTCGGGACTTGTTCATCTGAGGGGTTTGAAGGCGGATGGGAATCGGATCCGGGATATTCGTGGTATCATGCATTTGAATGGGTTGTTGTCGCTGAAGGTGAGGGGAAATTTGATTGAGGAAGTTGACTTTGGAGAAGCCGAGTTGTAAGTATATTTCAATTTTTGGATACAGTCTAATTCAATAGGGGACGATTGATCGCTGACGGCTATATAAAGGACTCGGTTGATCCACCTGGACTTGCGTGATAATTCCCTCACGAGTGTTCGCAACATTGGATTCATCAAAACTATCGAAAAGCTGGACCTTCGAGGAAATCGTATTCGGCAATTCGAATCGTTGGAAGTTCTTCATTGCATGCACTCACTTATTCTATCGAACAATAACATAGAGGAACTAGATATCGGGAAATTCCCCAACCTCCACCTCCTCTATTTAGACAGGAACCATCTCTCCACGATCACCGGTCTGGACCAGTGTCATTACCTCGACAGTTTATCTCTCCGCGAACAAACAATGCCATCCTCTTCCCAACAATCCGTGATGGCCCAACTTCCCCTCATCCGCCTTGACCTTGATGCAGCCGCCTCCCTCCGGAAGCTATACCTATCATCCAACCGCCTATCCCCAGCTCTTCTCGCTCCACCAACCGGCGTCCCTAGCCTACAATACCTTGACATCGCCTCGTGTGCCTTGGAAACTCTACCCAATACTTTCGGCATCGCCTTCCCAAACCTCCGCGTCTTGAATCTTAACTTCAACGCGCTCTCCGACATCTCCGAATTACAAGGCATCACACGCCTTGGTCGCGTTTTGTTAGTTGGTAACCGCATCGCTCGGCTTCGGAAGCTCTGCCAGGTTCTGAGATCCGTCGGTGGCCGCAGCGGTGCACTGGGCGATGTGGATTTAAGAGGGAACCCAATTACGGTGGGGTTCTATCCGGCACCTGTCACAGGAAGTGGGCGGGTGTGGAGGGATGAGAAGGGGCGCCTTGTCGGGGGCAGACAGGTGGGAAGACGAAAGAATGAGAAAAAGTATGGGTATGGGTATGACGAAGAGGAAAGGCAGTTACAGGTTCGCAAAAGTGATGATGGGGAGGAAGGGGAGGATGATGCGGGTTTCCCGACCTTGGGTGGCTGTACAGATATTGCACGGAAAGGATTCAGTGATGACGACGAGGCTCGTGATGAGGTTGAAGCTGAGGATGAGGGGAGGGTTGAGATTGAGATTGATGACCACTACACTGTGCCGCCGACGAATGTCATTGCAGATCGCAAGTATGTCGTACACCTGGACGAAGCGACGAGGTTGCGGAGAAGAGTTGTGGAGCTGATGGTGCTGGCGGCGGCTGCGGGGAGGTTGAGGGTCTTGAATGGACTTCCTGTTGTCAATGGATGTGCGGGGGGTAGCGTAGGTGATTTTTGGGATGAGGGTGCTAGCTCCAGTGGTGGCAGTGGTGGTGATGGTGGCGCAATGGGGAGGAGTGGGTATGTGAGAAAGGATGAGGTGTGGAGGCGGTTGGAAGAGTTAGGGGTTCTTAAAAAAAAGAAGAGCAATCAGAAAAAGGAGCGGCAAGATAGCTGATGGTGAATCTTTTCGCCTTCCCGTTATTGTTCTTCTGCCTGGGTTTTCTTTTGAGGTTTTAGGGTTTCTTTTCTACGTGAAATTTGCTTTTGTTCTCCTGCCTGGACATTAACTCAGCACGGAGAAGGGGTTTGGGTTTGTCCACTGTTTTCACTTTTCCACCTTCTCTTGTTTGATATATATGGCGTTTAGGACGGGGTATGTGATCTTGGCTTTTGGTCTCATTTCTTATTTGTTTTCCTCCTTTTGGTATCATGGGGTTTGCCTGTTCTCTTGCCTGGGACCTTGCCCCCTTTTTCTGTCGAAATACCCTGTTCTAATAGCATTTTGTACATAGCATGCGTAGGTTCTTTCTTGCCTTAGTTTTTCAAAATGGCTCTTTTATTCTCTTCTTTCTGCCACCTCCCTTCTTTTCTGGTTTTCGTTTCTCTTTTGATTTTTGAACAATGTTTGTTGTTTTGGTGATGATTGACTTTTGATACCTGCCAAACTCCGCGAATAAATGTATATAATTTATGTAATCTCACTCTGCCACCGTACCACGTTCAAAAGACAAAGAAAGGCGTACGTACGTACGGGAAGTACGCAGTCCCAAGATTTGCAATTAGATAAGGCCCTTACTATAACCACATTTTACTTTAATTAAATCGAGCCGTTTGTTCAAAAACCAGGAATCGGCCTCTGCAGTGCTCTGTAGTAAGTACTCTGCAAAGCTGTGTCTTATTTATTATTACTAACTAGTTGGTAGTTAACTACGGAGTAGTTAAGTAAATATTGTTGTTATGGTATGGGCCCTCCAATCCAAGAATGACTGGTCCTGTGGTCTAGTGGTATGATTCTCGCTTTGGGTTTGCGCTATTATTTCCAACGCCTAAATATGCGAGAGGCCCCGCGTTCGAACCGCGGCAGGACCCTGAGTTCTTTTACCAGTCGATTCTTACTGAGTTTTTTATGTACTCTTTTTACGAGTCTGGGTTTCTCTCACCGCCCTTTTTTCATTTTTTGTATCTTTATCGTGGACCTGGTATAGATAGAGTACACGGTATCTAACCTGGAGATTGTAAGTACTATTTGGGGGGAGGAGGAGGAGGAGGAGGAGGAGCAGGTTATCTGCTTGCTATGTAAGAGCTCCAGGAGCATCGAACGCTGGTTCTTCATGTGTCGTTGGTTGGATACAAGTACAGGAGGTAGGAACGTTTTCCAGTGCGGGGGAGGGTATTAGTGTTAGCATATCATATCTCCATGGATTGATTTGGACATCCATAGCTCCACGATGCTAATGAATGGATGAATGGGTTTTTTTTTGGGGGGGGGGGGGATACTTTCGCACTGCGGAGTCGAGACACACACTCCCTGCCCGTCCGTTGCCGTTCCCGTCCCCTATGGAACCGCGGTGGATTGATAAATACCTCATACTAACGATTGCTGGCCGTGCAGCGTGTCTGACAATGGATACTAGTTATCGGTTCGTGCCTAGGAAGGTAACTGTGTCTGTGTCTGAGACTCGGACTGGTCTTGGGCCAGGAGAGTAGCGTATATATGCGGAGGAGGAGAGCGCGTGGGAGCACGGCGGGTCTTGATTGGGCGGGGAGGGGAGGGGAGGTGTGAGATATGGCCACGGGTGTCGCCGGCGGGCCGGGCTGTTCCTGGTCACGGCTGCTGCGTACTAGAAGTAATCAGTGCTCATGTACGGAGTAGCAAGCGTTTAAAAGAGGCATTTGGAGGGATCGATGGTGTGTTGGCCCGGGATGATTGCCAGGAGAGGAGCGTGGAGACGGAACGTGGAGAGGAAGCGCAAGATGCAAGTGGAGTGGCTGGGGAGCATTGATCCCGACCCGGTACTAAAGGATGGAGAGTGGCACGGCACGGGTAAGCTTTCGCAGTAATCGGGAGATATTATTCCAGTGTGTTATTGACTGTGATCGTTATCTCACGGTGGTGGTGCATCGTCCCTGTACCTGTTCCTGTAGCTGAGACCTCGACGGAGCAGCTGTGGCAAGTTCCACTGTCGCCAGGCACAACCTTTGGGGGCTGACGCAGCGAAAGCTCCAGCTCAGCACCTGGCCCAATCAGCGGCTGGGGTCAGAGGCAAGTCTTCTTTGCTGTGGAATTTGACCGGCAAGGACAGATGAGATAAAATGGATCAGAATCGCTCTAACTGGCTAGCCATATATTCTGTACATCTATATACATACAGAAACCATTTGTGCTTGCCCACCCGCTGTCCCTGGCCCCGAGAATCCTGTTCTTGTTGTTGAATTTTAGGGTTTTGCCGTCACCAGCCACACCTCCCCAGGTCATCGGCATCATCAGTCAGCCTTCGCCCCATCCCAGTTTCGGGAACTTGCACTCCAGCTTCATTATTTTTATTGCAGCCCAGCTCCTCGACCGCCCTCTGTCCGCTCCTCCCACTCCCTCTCGTCCTACTAGCCTTCCTTATGAATTGCTGCTGCTGTTTTCTCCTCTTCTCCTCCTCCTATTAACCCCACTGGCTTTCCTCATCGCACTGGCCTGACCAATGTTTCCCCCATGTCAACACCTGCTCTCGCTCCCGTTGATCCCTCGTCCACAACCCTGGTGACACCTGTGCCCGATTCTTCTCCTGATTCGAGCTGCCTGCAGTCGACTCCAGCCTCCAATCCCAGAGCCAGAGCCAAAGCCCCCGGCTGCGGGTCGCTCAGCCAACAGCCTGCCCACGTTGCTGCGCCCATTGCATCAGGACCACTCGACACTAATGCGTCGACGGCACCCCTTACACCTCCACCTGCGCCTGCGCCCGCGGGCCGGTTAAAACCCCTCGATGCCTCGTTCCCTCTTCACCGGATACTCGCTGCCTCCCCGTCTTCTCCCTCCTCTATTTCACCCTGTTCTTACGGGCCCTCTGTAGTCACCCCCGTCACTGCCTCCTCCGCCGCCTCCACCTCCTCCGTCCTTCGATCCCGGAGCCCCCAGTTGTCCGAGAGGGAAAGCATCTTTGCCACACATTATCTACCCTCAGACAACGATGTAAATAGTATTCCGGCGGAAAGGGCCGTGGGAGGAGCTTCTTTAATCCGTCCACAGTTGAAGTCCGCTACAGCTGCAGACGGATATCAAACGGGAGAGGGAGAAGAAAGAGAAGGACGACGGCCGCTGCCGCTGCCGCTGCCGCTGGCAACACTGCAGACGTCAGCGGACCGCGGAGCATCATCTGCGTGGGATAAGAGTGCTAATAACAACCCTAACAGTGATAACGCCAGAAATAATTACAATAATACCCCTTTGCAGTTTCCCGACCTTCGACAAGATGGCAATGCTTCTTCTCTGTCCACTGACTCCGTGCGGAAGGACAGCCTCAAGTCGATTTCTTCTTCGCAGCCTTCGTTTCCCCTGTACGCTTCTCCCCCGCCACCCTCGCCTCCCCGACTCTCTTCCCCTCCCCTCTTCTCGATGATTACCACTCAGCTTCCGCAGCGAACCTGCGGTGTTGTCCCTGGAAGCGGCGCCAATGATGCTGGTGGCAGTGGTGCGACCGTCACCACCTCTAATCAATCTCACGGAATTGATACCTTCCTCCAACGGCCTTCGCCTACCCCTAATTTCACACCCGCAGAACACCCGCTACGATCTATACGGCTTTCCAGAGCAAGAACCTGGGATTCCCTTGGAGCCGTCTCCTCCATCCTCCCGGATTCCTCCAACGCGGGAGCTAGGCAAACACCTGTCATGACCACATCAGCTACGGCTACGACGAGTTCTAGCAAATCGACGCCCTTGATGGCAACGAAGCCATTCCTCAGAGAAAATAATACCAGTGCCCAATCATCATCCACAACCTCGACGCAGCAACCCGATCCATCCCAGTTCCGTCCCAAGTCCCAGTCCCAGTCTCGGTCAGGGGACTACTCCTCTGATTCTCGTCGAGATCTTCCCATCGCCCGCAGCTCGACCAAGGGTCACCCCTCACACCTAGAGACTTCCATTGAAGCTGATCTGGCCAACGCAGAGCCGGCTTCTAACGTTCGGAGTCGCAAATCAAGCCACTACCTAGGTCTGTTCAAGGAGAATACAAAATCTCCAGAGCGCAAAAAACGAGATGAGCGTCTTGTGGAGCGGAGTGTTAGGGATCAGGAATGTCAACTCGGTGGTGACGGTGATTATTCTGGCGAACGGGGGAGAGTGTTCCCTAGTGAAAACTCCTCCTCTTCATCACGTTCTCAGGTTATACTCCTTCCGCCAGACGTATCAGAGCCTCACCAGTTACAGCGGGAGGATGACGAGAATACGCATGATGAGGATGGAGGGAGTGATGTATCTGACGCCACTGATGCCACTCCTACCCAACGCGCCCGCCGAAACCCTCTTCACTCCGATATCGTTGAAGAAAAACCCCGGACTGACAGGTGGAGGAAGGTTCCCGTTGACCTCCTGGAAGAAATAAAGAGCTACGGCGGCTTCGTTCCTCCTTCGACAAACAGCTTGCCCACTACGATCATGGACCGTGGGTCATCAGCCCTTATTTTTGGACCAGATTCCACTTTCGGTAGTAATTCTGTGGGGTCTGACAGTACACAGCATCTTAGAGGGACAGGTTCAGATAGTTACGAGGATGAAGAACGAATTTCATCGGCACTCTACTTTCCACACAAACGTGCCGATGCAGAGGACGTCGAAGTCGAGGTTGATATCGAGCAGCTCAACACCCCAGAGGAAGAGGAACCTCCTGAAGAGGATCTCAAGCGTTCATCCATCCAGAAGAGTCATGACGGTCTCCCAAGTGAGCCATTCAACCATGTGGACATATCTTTGCGTTCTGATGGCAGCACTCGACATTTCCATGGAGACCTGCCAACGGCCCCCGAGGGCCAGGTTAGCGAGGGGAACGACCGCTCACTGGCTACGATTTCAGAGTTCGGCCATGAATCGACGTCTGAGTCTGAGTTTGGTTCTGCGGACGAAACCGGGCTTTCTGCACGTGAGGAAGAATCTAGTTTAACTGACGATGCTGGTACGATTCCGGCTGCTTCGACAGCGCACCGTAATCGCTACCCTACGCACCCTAAACGTAAACATGCTCATGGGCCTACTGCTCCGCTTGGAGCTGTTGAGCTCAAACCTTATCGGCATCAAGTTGGGGGCCATACCACCGTATTTAGATTTTCTCGACGAGCTGTTTGTAAGCAATTGAATAATCGGGAGAATGAGTTTTACGAGAGAATTGAGCGTAGACATCCGGAAATGTTAATGTTTCTAGCAAGGTTCGTTTATTTTATTTTATTTTATTTCACTTGTTTTTATCTCGTTTCCCAAGTTCATCCCGAAACACCCAAGCTTGCAGCACAGATGTCATGTCTCAGGATTCTATTTTTTATAATCAAAGAGATGCTTATGACGGGCTCTCTCTTTCCTGCAGGTACATTGGTGTTCTCAATGTAACATTCTCAAAAGGCCCAAAGCGACCAAAGAATAAGACCGATGATATTGCAGTTGAAAACGGAACTGCCCCCTCCACTTCTACGAACAATGGCGCCGAGAAAGCCTCGCAAGTTTCGAAAAAGACCAAAGACCCAGAAAGTGCGCGGATCTTTAGCCAATCGCAGGTTACGGGCGTCATTCCGAAGGTGATCCTTGAGAATAATAGGCATATAATTCCGTTAGATCTCTTTACCTCTGCTGGGTCAGCGAATAGTGGAAATACTTCTGGCACCCGAAAAACTGCTGGTTATGACGACGACGATGATGACGATGACGATGTCGCACGCAAGTCAACATCAGCATCATCCATTCGTTCGCATATTCCAAAACGACATGGAGCAAGCTGGGGCGCGACAACTGTAAATACAAAACTACAGGAACAGGTCCTTCGGGAGGTTTTTGCACCGCCTCCAATCCACCATCATCGGCGCCACTCTCGTGGACATAACTCCTTCTCCAGACTGCGGGCTGAGACCTCGCGAAGACGAAGCCATATTTCGATAGATTGTCAGTCTTTACAGAGCGACAGTTCCATGGGTACTGTGCGTGAAGGATCAGCCCCCCCGCTTCTAATGAACCGTAACGAAGACAAAAAAGAGGCCAACTTATCGTCTTCTTCTGCCTCTACAGTTGTGAATGGGGATACCCATGTGCCAGAGAAATTATATATAGAAGAAGTACACGGTCGACCTAAGCTCGTGGCTCCCATTGCCTCGCGGATACGGCGCCGTCATTCTGGCGGTGGGCTGGAAAGAAAACGAAGTATGAGCAATAGTAAACCTGGGGAACTGGTTTATTTTGATGACGATGGATATGGTGGGGATAAGGAAGATGAAATCTTGAAGATGGAACGGGATATGCCACCGCGGCCTGCTTCCGTGGAATCTGTCATGAACCCCGCCCTTGGTTTTGACCGGGCTTCTTCTGCTGATCAGCGCAGTGAGACTACTTTGGAGCTAGCCACTTCGCGACAGAACAAAAATTTTCCCGTCGCTCCGGAAGCTTCCACGGGGGTTCCTGTACGGCTCCCCGTAAACCCCAAAGAAGCACGGACTACACGAGATGAACGGGTTCAGTTCTTCCTGCTCCTTGAAGACCTTACTGCCGGCATGAATAGGCCGTGTGTTCTCGATCTAAAAATGGGTACTCGTCAGTATGGAATCGAGGCTACTGAGAAGAAGAAGAAATCTCAGAGACGCAAGTGCCAAACCACGACATCGCAACAGTTGGGAGTGCGGCTTTGTGGAATGCAAGTCTGGAATATCAAAAAACAAGATTATCTTTTCGAGGATAAGTATTTCGGGCGTGACCTCAAAGCTGGACGACAGTTCCAGGATGCACTCACAAGATTCTTGTATGATGGCGTTAGTTACTCAAGTGTCACGAAGAAGATCCCTATTATACTCGACAAACTCGCTCGGTTGGAAAACATGGTGCGGCGGCTCCCCGGTTACAGGCTGTACGCTAGTAGCCTCTTGATCCTCTATGACGCGGAAAAATCCGCAGAACCAGAAAAGCCTGATGATGTCACGACAACAGGCGATCGTGACTCTGCCGCAAAACAACAAAGAAAGAAGAAACCAGCCACCGATGACGGAGAGGGGCACAATAGTTTTGGCCTTCGCGTGAAAATTGTCGATTTCGCCAACTGCATCACGGGCGAAGATGGTATACCACCCGACGCGCCCTGTCCGCCCCATCGCCCTTGTGATATTGATCGGGGATACCTGCGCGGCCTGCGCTCGCTGCGCATGTATTTTCAGCGCATATTGAAGGAGATTAAGGAAGAGGATTATGTAGAGAGGGGGGAAGGGGAGGGGATGACGTTTTCGCAACGAGGTGGGTCGGGGATGGCAATTGGGAGAGAGGTTGGGGATGATGAGTATGATGGAGCATTTTGGGAGGAAGGGGTTATGGATACAGACCCTGGGGAGGTTAGCCTTTAGTTTGGGTTGGTGGAGTGTGTGCTGTCTTTGTTGCTCTTGTCCCACTTTGATTCTGGGAGTCTTATTAGCTATTGTGGGTATTTACCCCCCCATGCGTTATTTTTTGCTAAGATTACAGGGTTGACACTTGATTCCGATTCTTCGTTGAATGTTATTTGCTTCTTTATTACTGGTGTTGTGTTTTTCCGTTCACCCTCTTCCTTACTTATATGTTTTTCTCTCTCTCCCTCCCCCTTTTTTTTACACCTCCTCCCCCGGTTTATAACATTTATGGGCTGATGGGACATGGGACATGGATACAACATGGGACATGGGAACAGGATTTGGGGTTTGGAATTCGGATATGGGCGCTTGTTTTTGTTCCTTTTCATTTTTCTTTGCGGAAATTCCGGAAATCCAGACATAACGTAACATTAGCAACTAACTAGAATTGATGAATGAAATGAATGAATATTATGCTATAACTTAGTCTATTTATTCCCTTTTAACTATTGCATAGCAGAGGCAATGTTTTCTCGTGGTTATTGGTCGGCGCTTGGGTACCATAAATATTGCCTGAATAGGAAAAGCTTCCCGCGGCTCAAACTGCAACATTCGCTGGTGATAAACAACATCAACAACCTCAATCTACCCTGTTGAACGGGATGCTCCAGGACAAGGCAGGCTAATATCGAGACTAGGGTCGACGGGTCGAAAGCAAGGGAGACGGCAACCGACAACGCTCACAGCAGCTGTTGAGACAAGGATTTGGATATCCCGCTCCACTAACAACCTGAATTCGTCATAACATTACCGCATACCGCACGCACGCAAGTTACAACCCAGCGATCCGGCATGCAAGATGGGGCTGCTCGTCTAGCTTATTTGGTACGCTTACCCCAAATTACTTGCTCAGCGCCATTTTGCAGCCTGCGAGTGCAAAAAGCCGGGTGGGGGGCGATGAGGTTCTGTTTTCCACCGAATACTACATATGTATAGATATAATATTGGACTTGTTTGAAAAAAATTCAACGTTCCGAAAGACTTTTTGGAGCGGGAAAAGCTACAGAAAGGGGGTTTCATGAGAGGGGAATATTGTATCTTGTGCCTACCTGACCCAACCTACCCGCTCGGTGAGCCCGGGTTTTTGTTCGAATCAATACGTGCATTCTCTCTCGTCAAATCTTCGGGGGTGGGGTTTGAAGTCCGATAAATCCTATAAAAATGCCTCAAATCTGGGCAACCGCCCGCACTCCGGGAGCCAACCCAACCCTGTGGCCGTTTTTGCCGCCCCGGGAAGAATAGAGGAATCCCATAATATCCCTTCGAAGCAGCTTTTGTTCTCCCCCCCCCCCCCCCCCCCCCCTCTCCCTTTTTTTTTCGTGAAGATGCCCACCCCCAACAATACCCGCCATGCAAAAGTCATCGATAAGCGCGATTTCGATGCCGGTCGACCTTTTCTCCTTCGCGATACTGAAGATGAGGAGGAAGATAGTGATATTGGCCGTGGGAGAGACAGAGGTGAGCTGCGTGGTGATGGCCGCAGCCACAACGGCCATGCCGGTCACGGCGACGGTGACGACTACGGTGATGTCGCCTGCGAAATTAGTGAGCGGGATAGGAAGACGTGGAAGCGACAAGTGGTAAAGGTCGTGAGCTTTACATGGGGAGTTGGGAGTGCGTATGTTAGGCCCTTTTTATTCTTCCTAATCTTTCATCACCCCTCTCCTGGGAGTATAAAGTGGCTTGCTCCATGGCCATCATATATACACAAACCAATTAATTGATTCTCTTCGTTGGGGATATATATGATGAAGACTCTGCGCCGGAAGCATAACCGCATTCTCCCTCTACGGACCCCTCCTCCAAACCCGCCTCCATTACTCTCAGTTCCGCGTCAATGCCGTCGCCGTCGCCGCTGCGGTTTCCATGTATCTCCCGGTGGCATTTTTCGGTTATCTCTGCGATAGATACACCCCGGGCCCTATATCGTTAATTTCTGCCTTCCTTTTCGGCAGTGGCTACCTCCTCGCGGCATTCACGTACAAATCCGGACCGCCGCTTGACGTGGGCGGCACGGGCTGGCCCTTCGCGGTTATGGTTATATCCTTTGTTGGCGTGGGTGCTGGCACATGCTGCATGTATCTCGCCGCCGTCACGACGTGTGCGAAGAACTTTGGCCGCGGGAAACGCAAGGGCATTATGCTTGCACTGCCTATTGCGGCTTTTGGGCTCAGTGGCATGTGGCAGAGCCAGGTGGGGAGTCACCTGCTCTATGAGCGTGGGCCGGATGGGCAGAAGGGCGATGTCGATGTGTTCAAATATTTCCTTTTCCTGGGGATATTGTTGATTGTCGTTGGGGTTGGTGGGACATTTGCGTTGCGCATTGTGGATGAAGAAGAGATGATCGATGAGGCAGTGGAGGAGCTGGAGCGGAGTGGGATGATTGGCCAAAATGACTTTTTTCGCTCGAGAGAGGAGATTCGGGCTGCTATGGCTTCTTCGTCCGTTTCGTATGGTACTATGGATGGCATCGTGGCCGGGGCCGACACACCCATCGAGACTGATGCTCAATCCCTCACGCTTTCGCAGGAGGAACGGGACGACTACCAGAAAGAGGATCGGAGGAAGAAGGACTGGCTGCTTAACCAAGAGACGAGGCTGTTCTTGAAAGATAGGACAATGTGGTGGCTTGCTGTTGGGTTCTTTTTGATAACGGGCCCTGGGGAGGCATATATAAATAATGTATGTTTTACTAATTCCCCTCACCCTCCCCCACAATTATCTTTTTTCCTTCTATTGTAACTCGTCTTCTCCATTCTACACGATCCCCACTAACTTCTCTAAACAAAAAGGTCGGCACCATAATCCCAACCTTAACCCCTCCCTCATACCCTCCCAACCTTGCACCTCCCGCTGGCAGCCGGGCAACTCACGTCACATCCATCGCCCTAACCTCCACCTTCGCCCGCCTCTTAACCGGTTACCTATCCGACCTCTTCGCCCCGTCCCCAACCCACTCCCACCTCCAACCCGTCTCCTCCTCCCCCACCGCATCCCAGCAACCGCAATCCAGCCTCATCCGCCGCACAACGTTCTCCCGCCTAACCTTCCTCCTCCCCTCTGCCCTCCTCCTGTCCCTCGGCTTCCTCTTCCTCGCCACACCCATCCCCCTCTCCGCTCCGCAATCCTTCCACCTAACCACCGCGCTCGTGGGCGTCGGCTACGGCGCCTCCTTCGCGCTCGTCCCCATCATCATCTCCGTCGTGTGGGGCGTGGAGAACTTCGGAACGAATTGGGGTGTTGTTGCCATGTTTCCCGCAGCGGGGGCCGCGGTTTGGGGTGCGGTTTACTCTGCCTGCTATGAGGCGGCGAGGAGGACGGGTGATGGGAATCAGCAGTGTGTTGGCTGGCGCTGTTATGGGTTTTGGGCCCTCGGGTGCACGGCTAGTGTCTGGGTGGCTATTGGGTTGTGGGCGGTTGCGTGGAAGGGGTGGAGGCGGCGGCGGGTTGTGGTCTGATTGATCCGCAGCGATGAGGTTTGGAAATGCGGGTGTAGTTGGTTATCTCGCTATAGTAGCCAGCCATAGCAGGATATTATGGCTTGTCTGACGGGACAGGGACTTATAAGTTGTGCTTGGCATTTTGGATCGGCCCCTGCGGACTGTTCTGAACATTTCTTTTTGTATATGTCTTGTTTTGCTTTTTGTTTACCACCCCAGCTTTGTTGTATAGTATAGATAACAACCTGATTTCGGGAATATATATAGATTTTTTTTCCTCCTTATGGATAGTAAGTAGACTAATAATATGGACAGGAAATTGGCTTGATTTGCCGTTGCCCATGGAAATACAGATAGATAGCTCCGCTCTTTGGATCCGGGATTGGTAGGTTGAGGATTTTGAAGAATAGGCAATTTATTAGAGGGTAGCAAGGGATTGATGCAACGCTTCAGTCAAACAGCAATCATCTGAGCAAAGTATGAAGAAAAAGTCAAAGGATCCCCCAAATATTAGATAGATAGATAGATATTGTGCGTGGCTAGATTGAGCAGAATTTGTGAATGAGTTATAATGGGTCGTTTGCTACAGATATGTACATCTATATAAGCGGAGAAAGAGGGAGAGAGAAAGAGAGGGATTTAATTAAGGCAATTTTACTCCTGTCATAAATCTTGTAACCGCTTCAATGTTCTTACGGGTTGAGTTAGTTGGAGTAGTGCGAATGCAGAGAAACCGACGACTTCGCGTTAAAAAGTGTTTTGTAGATATACATGAGTGTGTTTATACCACCAGCACAGCCCAAACCCAGGTCATGACTGTGGATTACCAACTCTTCAATAATTGCTACCGGGATGTGTCCAATAGGTGGGGTGATCGGGAACTACCGTACTCAGCCAATAACTTCTCATTTCTCTTGTTTCGCCTGGCCCCTTTCCTCGATCCTCCCTTCCCTGTTGGCAACTGCGAAAGGTGCATGAGGATATAAAGAAGTAAAAAACCATCAGTGATACCCAATCGAAATGCCAATAAAAAAATAAACAAACAGGGGTATGAGAGTGAAACTGTATTCATATATCAAAGAAATTTCCAATGAGAGGTGCCAGAGTTATGTTTTGATCTAATTATCGAAAGCGTTACAGACCATGAAGTAAGATCGTGGCCGCTGTAGTAATAAAGGGGGCGATCGTTAATGATAGGTATATATAATGCACAAGGCCATCAGATATCGGTTGATGATGGATTCAAGCCCGTGAAAACTTTATATAAACGCTTGCTCATAGCGGGGCCAACGCGGGCATCTGTCAGGGCACCACTTCTATTTGCACATTTCTGAGATGGGGGTTTGACCGTTAGCTTATTGATTATTCAATTATAACAATCTTAGTGTCTAAGAGACAATTGGGAAAGTGAAGTCTGGAAGGGATGTTGAGGCCTGGCAGTAAAAGAAACGGAAGATAGGGCCACCAGATATAAGGGAACATAACATACCTTTACATCCTCCAGAAGTAAGGGCCCTTGCTCCTTCAATTTTGTCGCAAGATCTCCCACAGTGGGATATTGCGATGCTATTCCATATGATATCGGAGCGGTTACACGCTGAATCTCTTGTAGCATTTTGACATATGTGTCAGCGTTATCTTCGCCTGACTTCACCTGACCGGCGTCCATGCAGAATGAAGCGTCGTGCAGATTTATGAGCTCCTGACCGTAGGGTATCGTGGAAATATGTTCAGTGAAATTCTTAATCCACTCTGCGGACTCACTCGGTGCTGCGGTGTGCTGGATGAGGCAACCATGCTGCACTTGGAGCTGTAACAGAGCATCTTCGATGGTGTCGTCATCGACTAGCGCAGGTTGGAGCGCTGCTTGTTTGGGCTTTCTTTGGCGTTTGGGTGGCTGTTGCGGTTGTTGAAGTTGCGGGATACATTCTAATTCTCGAAGAACAGATGCCTGGTATGCTCTGTTCCTTGAATTGTTATTCTTCTTCATCCACATGCCTAGGCCTTCGATGAGATAAATTGGTTTGCAGCCGGAATAAGTACGTTTTATTTTGAGGACATGGGAATCGAGGCTATTGTCACTATTTACTGTTGCTATCGACATGTCAACAAATTCCTGTGCCAACAGTAGACATAGGACATGTGTTTCCGTTCTAATGGTCAGAGGGCAAGGCTCCCAGAGTGCAGCCTCATCATCATACTGAGCAGTGACTTTCCTCCTCCATGTAACGATATTTGGTATGCGAGTAGAAACGAAATGCTTTTCCACTCCGAGATGTCGCATGTACTCCGTAACTTGGTTGCCAACGCTGGATTCTTCAAAGCTAGTCGACATGTCTATAATCATTTCCGGCGTGGAAATTTTCTTATCGAATTTCCGCTTGTTGGCTTCTGCGAGGTCAGCAGCTAGTTGCTTCTCTTTTGCTTTTTGCTCCTTTAATTTTTGCTTCCGTGCTTTCACTTCTTCCCTCTCTTTTTCGCGGCGTTCCATTGCAGCTCGTCTTTCTGCTTCCCGCATTTCCCTACAAGTAGTGGACATCTTGGGTGCCCTTTCTGATTTGGACGTTGGAAGCACTGGCGGAGGGGAGCTCGAATCTATACCTGTCGTTGGGTTTGGGTCTGGCATTCGCATTCTAGAGTTTGAGGGTATTGATTTGGACACATGGGTGCTAACTCTCTGTTTGGATTGGATGGGTTCAGCCGACGAACGATTTTGAATCCGCAAGAGTAGATTCGTTGTTTTATCGGACAAACCGGTTTTCAAAATAGTTGGTGACGGGATATTCAGCGGACATCCAGGAGAAGGTAGGTCGTCCGTTTCTATTATACTATCGTCTAATGTTATGATAGCAGGAGTTCTTTTTGCATGATTGCCCCCATCGTGCGTGGATGTCCCATCCGCGGCTGATGATGTAAATTCAATAGGGTCTGATATGTCGCCATTCCATTTACGGCTTTTCGTTGAATTACAGTCATTGTCTAATTGGGTTCCTGGAGAAGATATAATACTCTCTTCCAAGTCAGAAAATAGGAGTAGTGGGCGTTTTTCCGGGGGAAGGGTAGGTTGTCTGGGAGGGCTCAGGCCGCGCTGGGAACTCAATTTTCGCTTCTTGGAAGGGTTTGTGTCTCCCCAGTCGAAAATTGAATCATCAGACGGGATGCCAGCTGTGCGAGTCAGTGGCTCGGATGTTACGGGCGACGGACGGACTGGATGTGTCTCCGAAAACGGCGATGATAAGAGGCTGATGACTTCAGGCATGATGGGTTCCGAGCACGCAAACCCAAACAAGTCAGTTGTGCTCCTAAGAAGATATCAATTTAATAAATTTCTGCATATATATCATCATCCAAAACGACGGTCAAGTTCATATCCCAAGTGCGGGAAACAGAAACACAGAACCAGAATATCCAAGGCCAAAAGTTATCAGTGAGTGGAATAGAAGAAAGAGAAAGAAAACCACGAGAGGTATTGCCAGCACCCAGCACCTTTTTATTGCGCTTCTTCGTGTTTCGGAATGAAATTTGACTTATCATCAACGTTCGAATGTTGCAAGGGTTTGGGCAAACGCGATCTCAACACGTGATCATGTGACTACTTTGCCTAAAAAGGAAACCTGCTCTGCAACTTCAAATCCAATGCTTATCTCAGCGAGCTCAGACCCTCTATGGCTCCGGTTGCAGCAGCATGACACTAAACTACTTTAATTACAAGTCATGTGCTCAGAGCAATTCTCATCAGAGAAGAAACAGTTCATCCTTCTGTGGAGATTGTTGAGATTTTCATAGATTCTTCAAATTATTCAACTTTTACTTTCAATTACACAATCATCATATATATTTGATATTTGTGAATCATCTTAGCTTGTAGCTAAAGAAAAGAAAAATATAAATATATAATTTTTATATTAAAAAAATCAATATTTAATATAGATATATCTTATTAAAAATAATCATTTTTTTTCTGATTGAAATCAAGTAATAGCAGATTGTTTCTGTGTTTAAAAAAAAATGAATTGATTTTAAGGTGATACTTCATATCTAAGAAATGGGAATATGAAAATAAAAATTGATACCATCATAAAATATTGATTTTCCTAGATCTCAAGGTGGTACAAAGATGCTGAATAGATGAAGTTGATTTGATATTCTCATCCATATATAAAATATAGAGTAAATCATTTCCATGTTGCTAACAAACTGGATATAATAGACGCAACAGAGATATCTATATTAGAAAATAGATACATAGCGATAGATACATGGCGAAAGAAAGGCACGGAACAATTGTAGTGTAGTGGCAACATTGTCTATATAATGCTCACTGATATCTGAGATTTTAAGAGATCAGTAATTAGCTTTGAATAATAGAGATTGCTACTTTCTTAATATTCTTTATATTGTAATGTGACGGCGCCGAGGCGATTGCTACTCGGCAGCGGCACAGAGGAGGATGGTATATAATGGGAAGCCTTATGGGTGGGCTTGATTATCTCGCTTGAACCGCGAACTCGTAGAATACTATACAAATACTGAACTACCAGAGGTACTCGGCACACTATGAATATTGTATGAGGACAGTGGTAACTCTGGTATCTTATTGTCAAAAGATAAAAGACGAATCGCTGGCTCCTGGAATAGAGAGCCAGCATCTAGCTATTCTATATAGACAACGGGCAGCCATCCTCCCCTCACTCTATAAGCGAGGGTAGCCGAAGCAACTCCGCAGTGGCGCTGCATTGATCTGCCAGAAGGAATCCAGACCCCGTATAGAAACAGGATTCTCATATCTCATCAATCGGATCCTCTTCTATTGCATCCGAATGATGTCATAGGGTGGTTGGAAACCGGTTCGGACACCTGCGTGATGTCATGGGATAGATGGGATTATCTGAGGGAAACGATGGGCCGTGTGGAGCCGTCACGGGGCCTTGGCACAACCAAGGGTGTGACAATGCCCTCCCCTTTAAAGGCATAGTCCCGATGCCTCAAGATTACCGGATTGGGAATTATCTTTGTTGTGTAGCAACGGTTGCCAACCGCTTTGGCAGCGCGCGCGCTGCGCGGCATAAAGGAATGGGTGAGTCTTATTCGACGTGATTCTTCTGCTGAATGCGCAGTCCTTCTTTTTCTCCCCCCCCCTGGTCTGCAATAGTGAGTGCATGGGAACGTCGTCCTTGGAAGACAGTAAGGGGGCTTATTCTGATGTTTTCTAGTGGGTAAAAAACGTCTACGTGGTGCAGCTGCGGCCTCTGTCGCGGCCAAAAGGGCCAGGTTGGAGGCGGAGGCGGAGACACCTAGCAGCTGTGGGGGTTCTGCTCCTCCCCCCCTGCCGCTGTCACACCGCCCCCCCCCCGCCAATCAACAGGGCGATGTATGACCCCGCATGGTCGTTCGGAGAGGACCTCAGGGAGAGCTTGGTTCCTTTGCTTTCTCCTTGTGGGGAAACCCCGGTGCGGCGCCTGGCTGGCACCGCTACCTGCCTTCGCTGCGCCAAGCAGCTTCGAGAAGGGGGGATCCTTTGCACCCGCCCCTCCGCCCATTCACGCTGTTTCCGTTGCGTGAAAAACAACGACACCTGCCTTCCTGTACGTACTGCTCCTTCTGTAACGGCGCCGTGCCGGTTCTGACAAGGCGTATAGGTGCCAAAGCAGTACAGGGCCAAAGTTGTGGATCTCCAGGCGTTGGCGGATTCCGTCCGTTCTGGGGAGGTTCCCAAGGCCCGTCTGGAGAAGGAGGCGAAAGCGTGGGTCTCCGAGGTGGAAAAACACTTCAGAATGGCCGGCCCTAAGAAGAAGGGGTCGGCCGGCGCCGCCGTTGGAAGCGCCACGGAGACAAATCGTTTGTTGGAGAGGATCTCGCTCCAATTGGAGCAGGTGACTGAGGTGCTTTGCAAATTGGTAAGTTGACACTTTGTTGTACTTTCCTACACCCCCCTGCGGCGCCGCAGCGCTAACTCCACGGCAGGCAAAGGTGCCGGTGCCAGGGACTCCGTCGGTGGAGGAGGAGTTCGGTGGGGGTGAGGTGGTGGAAGAATGAGGCCTTCAGGTGTTTTCTTCGATCTTCGTGGGCTTCGGCCCTTATAGAATAATAGCGACCCTCAGGCCAAATAAAATTGCATTAATTGTTGGTTCTTCATATCCCTTTTTTCCTTTCTACCGCTCTGAGATCTTTGAGCTGCGTAACCTCATTAAACTCCTAAAAACCCCTAGGGAAAAATAGGAGAAGAGTGTTACAGCGTCTTCGAGGCACCGGCTCACCACCGCGAGATCATCTCTAAAAAACCCTTTGGGAAAAAGAAGAAGTCTCAAGCAGCAGCTCTTGCCTAACCACACCTCCGACGTGCAGCGGGGCGGTCTCTACTAGCCACCTCATATTTTGCGATCTCTTCCTCGGCATTCTCTAAATGCTCAAGCGGTTCCCATGAGTTCTCGGATGATGGATAACCTTCCCATTTGACAAGGTATTGAACTTTGTTGTAGTGCATTCGTTTGTCCAATATTCCTTCTACAAGATATTCGGTATTACCCTCAATCTCGAGCCCATCCGGCCGAGGCGGCTCCGCCCCGGGTCGTTGCTTATAGGGTTCCAAATAGGAAATGTGGAAGACAGGATGGATAGATTTGAATCCTGAGGTTAGTTTCAACTCATATGCCTGCTTACCCACTACCCTTATTATCGGGAAAGGTCCCAACCATCGCTCACTGAGCTTCTTGCACGGTCTCGTCGTCTTGATGTTCTTTGCTGAAAGTAACACTTGATCCCCTATTGAGAACTTCATTGGAAGGTGTTTTCGATTATAGTATTCCGCCTGTCGCTCCTGGGCGCGGCGGATGCTTTTCGCCGCCTCCCCGTGGATTCTATCCAGAAGCTCCAATCTAGCTTTTACTTCTGGCACCGAGGGGTACTCTGTCCCACGATCCCGTTCGACATTCCGACTGTCTATCCCCCCCTTTAGGACGTCGTCCGCGACGTCACTAGGTAATGAAGGATTATACCCATAACAAGCATAAAAGGGGGACACTTTTAAGGTTGCATTCTTTGCATTGTTATATGCGAATTCGGCGGTCGGAAGGTGTCTAGGCCAGTCATTCTGATGATATGAACAGAACGCCCGAAGATGGTGTTCTAATGTCTGATTCTGACGTTCAGTCTGGCCATCTGTCTGAGGATGGAACGCGGTGCTGAGGAGGCGCCTTATCGTAAGGTGATAGCAAAAGGCCGACCAGTATTTACTGGTGAAAAGGGATCCTCGGTCTGACACTAACGATTTCGGAGAACCGTGATCACGAATGATGGCATCTAGAAACAGGTCAGCCAATTCAGGGGCTTTAACCTTCTTGTGGGTAGGGATATATTTGGCAAAGCGGTCGACAATAACTAGAATTGAGTCATATCCTTTGACTCTTGTCGACTTCGGCAGGTCAACTATGAAATCCATCGATAGATCCTGCCATGGGCCCTTTGGAACAGGCAGTGGCGCCAACTCGCCATACTGCTTGTGCCGCGGAACCTTTATCCTCTGGCAGACATCACAAGTTTCAACATACTCCTTGACATCTGTCCGAAGCTTGTCCCAAACGTACTTACGTCTCAGGAGCTCTTCAGTCTTCTCTAATCCGAAGTGCCCAGCATGGGGATCATCGTGATGAATCCTCAATAACTCCTGGCGCACCGCCCTGCTACGAGGGACAAAGACTGAACCATTTAGCAGTAGGAGTCCACATTCCCCTAGTTGCCAGCGACTTGGTTCCTCGGCGGCACCGCCCCGCTCAGGGCTTGCCCCTTCCAAGTTCGACCCGGATCCTTCCTCCTTCAACTTCTGGATTCGAGCCGCAGTAAGGGCGTCCCCCTGCTGCAACTCACCAATGAATTCTAGAAGCCGTTGGGTTGGAAGGTTGTAGACCGTTTCGTCTTCCGCCAATTCAATGGCAGCAAAACGTGGCACGAGAAGTTCATGACCTTCAGTGCCAGTCCCCTGCGGGGACCCGAGTTCTCCTCCACCTGTATAGGGTCGCGCAGCTGCCTTACCGGCGCCGTTCCCAAGCTTTAGAGAACCCCAACCCCCTGCAGCCAGTTTCTTCTGCAGTGATGGTAGAGGTCCCTTTGTAGGATCCTCATCCCCATCAACGATATCATAATCGGGTCGCCTTGATGGCGCATCGGCGGGGTTAAGCCGACCTGGACGGTATCGGATAAAGAAATCATACTCCGAAAGCAGCTCCGCCCACCTGGCTTGACGTCCTGTCAAGCTCTTTGTTGTCAAGAAGTAACGCAAATTTGCATGGTCGGTGAGAACTTGCACCGGATACTTGCAACCTTGAAGGTAGTGTCGCCAAATCTTAAAGGATTCAACTATTGCCAACATCTCTTGATCATGAGTATCATACCTTCTTTGCGTGAGCGATAGCTTCTTGGAGAAGAAGGCCACTGGTCTCCATTCACGGCGCCTTGTAGGTTCTGTGAAAAAGCCTTCTCCTACAGGCATTCCATTGCCTGTATCTCCAGAGGTTATTAACCCCCGATCCTTCCAACGTTGGAAAGTCTCCGGTGTCAACTGCGAAAAGATTCCGCAGACACCATTCCCAGATGCATCAGTTTCACACTGACTGGGTAGGCCGGGGTCGAAGTGATTTAACATCGTGGCATCTGCAAAAGCTTGCTTCAATTCTTCAAACGCCCTCACAGCGTCTTGGGTAAGGATAAACGGTCCCGTTTTCCTGCCTTTAACACTTCCCTTTAACAAATCTGTAAGGGGGGCAGCAATCCGCGAATACGCATAGATGAACCGTCTATAGAAATTCGCGAACCCTAGGAATACCTGCACCTCGCGGTACGTGCGCGGCGCCGGCCAGTCCTCGATGGCGGAGACCCGGCTCCTGTCCATTGAAATGCCATCAACCCCAACAATATAACCTAAGAAATCAATCTCCTGTGTGTAGAACGAGCATTTCTCAGTGTTCGCATAGAGCTGGTGTTGCTTCAAGCGATCCAACACCTCCCGAACGTGGGTATCATGTTCTTTTTCCGTTTTCGAGAAGATTAGGATGTCGTCCAAGTATACTATGCAGGAGACATCGACAAGGCCCCGCAGTGCCTCATTTATGTAGGCCTGGAAGGTGGCCGGAGCGTTGCAAAGACCAAAAGGCAAAACGAGATATTCAAAATTGCCGTACTTGGTACGAAAAGCTGTCTTCCAAATGTCGTCTTCGTTAACCCTTATTCTATGATAGGCGTCCCGTATGTCAATCTTCGAGAACACCCTTGCTCCGGATAATCGATCGATCATCTCATCAATTAATGGTAGTGGATAGCGATCCTTAACCGTCACCTTATTGAGGCCCCTGTAGTCTACGCAGAGGCGCAGCCTACCGTCCTTCTTGGGCACGAATAGTATAGGTGCCCCCGCTGGACTCTTCGATGGGCGTATCCAGTTCTTTGACTGCGCTTCTTCAAGATATTTGCGCAGAACGTCCAATTCCTTTACTGACAAATTGTAAAGGGGTCCGTACGGCGCTGTCGCGCCCTCTTCAAGTTGGATCTTATGTCGCACTTTGGTATCAGGAAACTTCGCTGCTTCCTTTTCTGAAAAAACGTCCTTGTAATCTGTGAAGAGACGTTGCGTTCGTCCGCCTTCAGTGGCAGACATCACTGCTAATCTGGCAGTGAGGGTGGCGGCTTCTCCGCCTGCCTCCAAGTCCAAGTCACCTGCTACACAGTATATCGACTCAATCTTATCCTCGAGATTCTTCCGATGGAACTCTTCGGGTTCCTCTATAGCTGCCTCTTCGTCGGTGAGGCGGTACCGCCACGCCTGAGTGACCCAGTCGATGAGAGGATTGTTTTCTCTCAACCACGGGAGACCTAGGATGACGTCCTCATCTATGATGTTGACAGCGTGGAGGAGCAGACTGCTCCCCTTGGAGGTTCCTTCAGAGTCCGTGGCCTCACACTTTGTTTGAATGATGCCGAATCGGTGGCATTTTGTTCCATCTGTAAACTTTGCGTGGCCCGGCGGACCTATCTTTTTCCAACCCTTCATGAGTGAAAAGGAATAGGATATGAAGTTAGCGTCCGCCCCGGAGTCGACTAGGCACCTCACTGGCACCTCCCCTGATGGGGTATTCATCTTCAAGGTTACATGGACTCGGAGTCGTGAGGATTGTCAATCCTCCTTGGGTTTTTCCTTTTTATCTTCAGTGGATACATTTGCCAGAATGGGAGTCGTCTTCGAGGAGGTATCTCCTCGGTTCCTTCCCTTCTTCGACTTACGGCAATCACTGGCAAAATGGCCTGAGATTCCGCAGTTAAAACAAAGGTTGTTATCCAGTCTATTTTGGCGTTCCTTTGCAGTAAGTGAAGAACTGGAACGCTTTGAGTTCTTCTTTGCATCATCCGCACCGGAGCCGTCATGGCGCCGTTTTGATCCTGTTGTCGGTTGCTTTGAGGGAGTCTTGTCCCCCTTCTTCTCATGGTGTTGATTATTCAAATAGATTCGAGAAGCCAGGTTGACAAGCTCGGTGCGATTGGTGGGCGGACTTTGATATTGCGATATCGTCGTCCGCACCTTATGAGTCAGCTTCGCGAGGTAAAGCTGCGTTTTCAATAGATTCAAATCGTCAGACAGTTCCTCCCAATATTCTTCGAATCTTGCATTGAAATCGGAAGGATTCTCGTCGTCTCGTTGACGTAGTGAGTTGAACCGCTGCGCCGCCGTGAAGGCGCGGTTACGGTGGTCTTCAATCTGGTCCAGAAGGAAGTTCTTGAATTCTTCCCATGTCATGGCAGCATTGCTACGCTCAAGCTCCCTTTCCTTGGTCGCCCATGTAGTTGCAGGGGTGCCTTCGAGGAGGCTCGCGGCGTATATGACTCGTACCTCATGGGTATTAAACTGGCTCAGGTTAAGGCGGAATTTCCGTTCAAGGGCCCTCGTGAAGCTGTGGAATTCAGACAGCGTCTTGCCCTTGTAATTCGGCGGATCTCCAACCTTGATCCCTTTATCTCCATTGTAGACATAGGAGTGTAGGGGCCGCGGCGGTGGCAGGGCGGCTGGAGGGCCCATGCCAAGGTGAGCGGCGGGTTCAGGAATCTCAGATTCCTGCCGGGGTAGAGGTGTACGCGCTCTAGGGGACGACGTGGAGGCTCCCCCAGAGGGTGCGGTCCCAGCACGGGTGCGTGGGGCCATATCGATCAATAGAGCTCGACTGATTCAAACGTGTAACCAGGTCGAGCGATTCGAATTGTAATGTGACGGCGCCGAGGCGATTGCTACTCGGCAGCGGCACAGAGGAGGATGGTATATAATGGGAAGCCTTATGGGTGGGCTTGATTATCTCGCTTGAACCGCGAACTCGTAGAATACTATACAAATACTGAACTACCAGAGGTACTCGGCACACTATGAATATTGTATGAGGACAGTGGTAACTCTGGTATCTTATTGTCAAAAGATAAAAGACGAATCGCTGGCTCCTGGAATAGAGAGCCAGCATCTAGCTATTCTATATAGACAACGGGCAGCCATCCTCCCCTCACTCTATAAGCGAGGGTAGCCGAAGCAACTCCGCAGTGGCGCTGCATTGATCTGCCAGAAGGAATCCAGACCCCGTATAGAAACAGGATTCTCATATCTCATCAATCGGATCCTCTTCTATTGCATCCGAATGATGTCATAGGGTGGTTGGAAACCGGTTCGGACACCTGCGTGATGTCATGGGATAGATGGGATTATCTGAGGGAAACGATGGGCCGTGTGGAGCCGTCACGGGGCCTTGGCACAACCAAGGGTGTGACATATATGTACTTCACACTATTCTTGTAATTACTCTTATAACTTATCTTTTACAATTCTAATCACTCTAAACTTTATTTGAATAGTCTGTTGTTATGCACATCTACAACAAAACACACAATGTTAGTTAAAATATATAAGATGATTTCAATATATACAAAATCTTTTGAAAATCAATCTGAATCCTCTACCATCTTCAATAATCACAATGCTCAATTGCAATAGTTAAACAATTAAATTTATGAATGAGAGTGGTGCACTCTGTAAAATGTAATAAGCTTGATTCTCTATCTATGTCATGACATGAGCTATTTATACTCATGGATGATGTCTAGCTATTGCTCTAATAGGCAAGTATTAACATGATATGATATAATGTAAGGCAAGTGAGCAGAGTGGGCATAGAGCATAACAAGGTGTAGCAATTGCCCGGCCTGAAAAGGCATACGCCCTTGTAGGCTAACATAGAAAGTTAAGTGCATAAGCAATTTTATCATGAGCTAGTAGATTGCAGGTGTCAGAGGTGTGGAAAAACTTAGATGGTAATGCATAGTGAGATAGCAGAAAAAAGGGATAAGAGCAGGTCAGCAAGGGAATGATGGAGATTAATTTGTGGAATCATCCGAGTTCGCAGGGGCGTTTATAAAGGTGAAGGTGGATGTGGTAGACACATTAACTGATACTAAGGTGGTCATTGTTTGGTCTTCATGTTCTTGTATCATTGCGAGGGCGGTGTAGGCGGTGTTTTGACTGTTGAATATGTCAGTGTCAATACTGTAGTTTTCTAGCAGATTCACTTCAATTAGTGCTGTAGACCTGGTTATAACACCTATCATGATATCATCATAGCTGAGAGCTGTGGCAGCAAAGGTGAGTGAGTGTAATCTGAAGTAATCATATTTCTGTCATTTCAGCTTTGCCTTGATGTCTGATGAGCTAATGTGTTTCTCATCTGTCAGCATGCGCGCGGCTTCGCTATAGCACTCAAATGTAACTAGATTAGCAGTATAATCAGTGAGAATAGTTTCCTTCAAATGTCTGACAAGATTTTTATTCTGTTGACTTTTTCTTTTTTGAAGTTTCTGATCATATTTTAGTTTGTACTTCTGCGCCATGGTGCAATGATGCTCTGTATCAGCTGCAAGGTGTTATACTTCTGTGTCTCAGTCAGCTTTGAAGCCTTGAAGTTCGAGCTTGACTTGGTTCAGTTCTGTGAGCAGGTTGTCTGTGTCTGGCTGTTCATTGTCTGAATCTACAAAAAGGTGTTTTTGCTGTTTGTCTTTGCAGGCAGTTGGTTTGGCAAGGGTTTCTGTGGCTGTGTGAGGGGTGATGACAGTGTGAAGAGTGAATAGTAGAAGATAGTATATAGTGTAGTAGAAGATAATAGTAATAATAATTATAGTAGTAGTATAGTTGAAGTTGTAGTTGTAGTTGTAGTTGTAGTTGTAGTTGTAGCTAATCGCTGAAGAGGAAAAGAAAGAGAAAGAAGATGTGCGAAACACATGCATCCATATATATATACATATAGAAATAGTGGTAGCGAGAGTATAATGGAAAGAGGTAAGAATAGACGAAGATATAAACAAAGATAATATAATAATAAGGAAATAATAAACGAGTGCATTACAGGCTGCTGGTTCGCGTGCCTTCATAGTTGTCGGTATGGGCATGGTGACTGATGTAGACACATGTGGTGCTCTTTTGGCATTTCTGACTGATGCTTTTACAGTGGTTAGAGTATGTGAACAGCATTACATAGAGTGTGTAAACAGCATTGCATAGGTTGTTCTCCACTGCTGCAGGACAGGAATTCATACACTGTCTTGTGATAGATGTCATCTCTAATGCTTCAGCTGGTTCTGTCTTTACACAGCTTGTCATCAAAGTCAAAATCAATTAGCTAGAAGGTGCTCAAGCTCTTTACTGTGAAATCTTTGTTTTTTATGATGTCTAGCAGGATTTGGCACTGTTCATTACAAGGCAAGCAGTACAGAGGTGGGTAGTCGCCTTGTGCTATTTCATTATAGAACAGAAATCTGGCGTCGAAGTGTGTGTAGTTCTTCAACTTTATAAGAATCCAGTCATCCATCCATTCCCTATCTTTCTGTGTTGATGAATTGTTTGATGTGAAGTGGGTGAGTGGTTTTGAGCAGCTGCGGTCTTTTTGATTCTTTGTTGGCGTGGGTGTGAAATCAATTGACCATCATGAAAAGGAACTGATAGTTGATGTGTCTGTTTCATGATCTGAGAGCAAGTCATAATGAGCTTGAAGCCTCTCAATGAAGTCTCTAAGGGAGTTTACCATGATGAGGAGGTGAAATAAGGGTTGTTGAAGAAGGTTGTAAGTTGTTGTAAAAAGTGAAAGATGCTGAGTGTGATGGGGAAAAGAGGAGGGAATTGAGGTTGAGATGTGAGAGGCATTATGAGTAGTGAGGTTAGAGTTGTGTTGTTGAGGGGAAGTGAATAGGTGTGTAGAGGGGCTGAGAGCAATTGATGTAATAGTTGCTTAGAGTTTAAAGAAAGAGAATGAATGTGAACAGTAAGTTCTTTATGACTCTGATGATTTCCTTACACTTTGATCTAGCAGTGATTTTACACTGATTTATATTGTTGATGTCCTTTATTGGCGCGGCTTTTGTAGGCTGGGAGTGGTTGGCTTCATATTTCCGTATGAGCTCATCACAATTCATGTCGTCTTGCCTAGCTCAGACATCATATTCTGACTCATATTCTGATCAGTGAATGAAGTATTCAATGATTGTCTTTCCTCTGTGTTTTACTATTCAGCAGTCGACGATTGTATCAACTTTATAGAGGGGGTTGTCCGTGGGTGCATTGACTAGAGGTGGGAGATGTTGTCTTTTATGACAGTTGTAGAGGTTCTTGGATGGACAGGGTTCCAGCTGAGTGACTGAGAGGACTGAGTGTATCTTTCAGTGAGGTGGTAAGTTGAAATGATAAGTGAGTTTGCCAACTTTCTGAGCAATTCTAAACAGGCTGACTCTTTGTTGTTATAGCTTGTGATTAAAGTACTTGTCTAAAACGTGGTAGCCTTTATGCAACTGGATGTACACTTCATCGCCAGTCTTGAATTCTATGGGTTTATGGTGACAACCATAGACACTCTTCATTCATATGGCTGCAAATTTCAGCGCATCTTCCACTTCTCATCTGACTGAAAAGTCTTGCTGGCGGAGATGGAAGGGGTTGAGTTTGTTGAAAGGGTGCGTGATCTCCATACTGTAGACGAGGTGTAGGGGACTCTTGCTGATGGAGGTGTTCACCACAGTGTTGAGTTCAGCTTGCAGAAAGGGCAGGAGCTTTTCTCAAATGTAAAATTAACATGTGCTGTAATGCAATTTCAACTGTTAAATTTGTCCGCTCACTTTGACCATTTGTTTGTAGGTGGCTGGTTGTGGAAAAGAGTAGCTTGGTTTCAGACTTCTGAAAGATCTCTTTTCAGAAGTCACTGAGGAATTTCAGATCTTTGTCTGAGATTATATATGAGGGCCATCCTCAATCTGTCAAGGCAAGTCTCTTGATGAATGCAGCAGCTCAGTTAGCTGCATTCCAGATATTCTTTTCTGAGACTAGAGCAATTTGTTTTGTAAATTTGCAAGTAATAGATAGTATAGTGTTGTGCTTTTTGAGTGATGGTGGTAAGCCTAGGATGAAGTCCATGGTGATGGTATGAAATAGGATAGATGGGGTGCCGATCAGTTGTAGGTTGCTGTAAGGTGGGTGATTCTTGGGGGTGTTTACTTGGCATTTAGAGCAATGATGGATGAAGTTAGAGACACTCACTCTAAGGCGGTGTATGCATAGTGGTCGCAGTCTTTCAATCATCTTAAATTTGCCAGTGTGCATCTCGCCGTGTGCGAGCTGAAGTACATCCATGATCATGAATCAGGGAATTACAAGTCTCTTTGTACTGTTGTAATCCACAGTGTAGTGTAGATCATTGTGGATTTTGTATGAAAGGTTGATAGAGATGAGGAATAAGTCATTTGTTCTTATTGCTGATTTAATCTTTGCTCAGTGTGGGTCTCTGTTATATTCTGTTATGATGGCTTTTTTGATTTCTGAACTCATGTGGATAAGGCAAGCTGTGAAGTTGAGTACTGGGGTCCGATAGGCGTCCTCCGTCTGGCTGTATTGGGTGTGAAGATCATCGATTATATCATCTTGACCTCGGGGCTGATGTGAGCTTGGAAGCTTTGATAGAGTGTCTGGGATGATGTGTTGATGATTTGACCTGTGGAAAACAAGTACTTCTAACCACTGAATATACTCAGTGGTGCAGATAAAGTGTAAGTTTGTTTTGTCTGTAAAGAATGATATCAGAAATGTCTGTTTGACAATATCAGCTGTTGCTGAGTGGTCTGAGAAGGCAATAACTGAAGCTCAAGAGGCTTTGACAATGTGATGAATTTGTTTCAGAGCTCAAACTAGCTCAGCTGTCTTCAATTCTGTCAGTCAGAATTTACATTCTGCATTGAATAATGTCTTGCTGAGAAATATGATGGGCTTGATATTATTCTGAGATGGTGGTTTGTTCTTCAGTCAATCTGAAAGTAGATTTGTATGGTATAAAAAGGCGCTGAACCCCTGCTTCTTATATGCATTGATTTCAATGTAGAGTATTTTGCTGATGTTATGATGCATTAAAAAGGTGGGTGAGATGAAAGTCTGCTGTAGACAGTTGAATGCATCCTCTTCTGCCTTAGTAGATGTCATAAGCACAGTCTTGTGCATCTTTTGCACAAAGTTCCTCTGTTTCATTTCTTTATTTGGGGCCTCCTTGAGTAGTAGTGTTTTCCATAGTTGTAGCGGTTCGACAATGTGTGCGGAGTATGGGATATAGTTACATAGCCATCCGGTGACCCCCAAGTATGTTTTCAGGTCCTTGAGGGTAGTCGGGAAGATAAATTTTGCTATTGCAGTGAGTTTTTCAGTTGCTGTAGTAAGTTCCATTCTGAACACTCACTGGCTCAGCAGAGTGATCGTGGGGAAATCTATGAATGATTTCTCAGAGTTGAGTGCGACTCCTAAGTTGCTCAGAATGGAGAAAATAGCATACAGATGTTGTATGTGATTGTTTAGTGTGTCAGAGAAGATAATGAGATCATCAATGTAAACTCTAATATATTGTTTATGTTCACAGAGCTCATAATCTATTTGATATTGGATATATTGAGAGCTGTTGCAAAATCTCATAAAAGCAACTTTAACGTGTTCTTGATCTCTATAGCTAATGACTGTGAGCTTGTGCTGGTCCTCAGAATGCATGTGCCATTGGTAGAATCATTTGATGATGTTCAATACTGAGATGAACTTTTTACTGATCATGCAATTTAGAATGTTGGCTTGTAGTGGCATCAGATAGCTATCTCTTTCAGTTATTTTATTGAGATCATGTAGATCAATGACTACTCAGTCTTTTTCAACTGACTTATTTTGTATGTGGGTTGTTTGTCAAACAATGAAGATTGAGATGCTGAAAGGTATGTGATCTGTTGTCCAAGCCATTCTGTCTTTGTTATGCAGTTCATTAAATGTTTTGTCTATTACTTTTTTATTACAGATTGATAAAGGGTAAACTCTGATTTTCTTGAAATTGACTTCTCAGTTCTCTTTAAGAGGGACTCATATTCATCTTTCTCAGTCTACTTGAGTGATGTTCTCCTTGTCTTTTCAGATATTGTACTTATGCAGTACATCTGACAGTCTGACTGCTGTGTCATTGTTGCTGTAGATGGTAACATCTAGGGGTGTCATATGCTCTATGTGTAGTGGATTGGTTGGGGATGGAGTGGTTGAGGTGGTTGCTAAAGCTTCGATGTGTGATATTTGAGCTCCGTGAGTCATGTTGAACTCAGTTAGAATGTCTAGATGCATGTTCTGCGGGACTGTGAGTGGTTTGGAGGAGGTGTTCTGTATGGGGATATGAAAGAGTCGGTGGTCGGCAACTGCCGCGAAGATTATAGCTGGTAATATATGAAATATGAAGGAGTAGTCTCAGTCTGTCTGAAGTGCGCCCTTAAACTTGATGAGTATGAGCATGTAGAAGTGGGTGGGAATGATTGTGTCTGTACTTGCAAAAATAGTTCTGCTTGAGAGCCGGTGTCTCTTTGATGTAACTGTCAATGTGATGATGATGTTGTTGTAGAAGTGTATGATTGCTCTACAGAGCTGAAAATTCAGCAAGAATTCTTTAGATCTAAAGATATCAATTTCAATGAGAGAAATGACATTGAGGTTTTTAATTATGTGAACTTCATGGGTGATTTTGATGATGATGTCATTGCCATCAGCGTCCTTGCCTGGGAAGTGCAAAGGGAGGTTGGTGTACATTGTGAACTCATGCAATTGATCACCGAGTCCTTTGATCTTGACAAGTGTGGTGGGGAGGATGGTTATGTGTGGGTCTTGAGTGAGTAGCCACTCTTACTGATCGTGCTCATGATGTAGTCTGAATCAAGGCAGATAGAGGTTAAAATGATAGAGCTTTTGACATATACTTCTGCAGTTATGTATCTTCATAAGTGGAAGGCTGCATCAGAGGGTTGATGCTGTCCCACACAGCTAGTAGAGATTACAATGAGTGTTGTCTTGTGATTAATGATTAGATAATTATTTTGAACTGTGTTTGACAAATCTGCATATGAAGAAATATGAGAGGTAATATGTCTGTGCAAGCAGTTGTTGAAGGGGAAAGATGCATCACAGTGTTTACAAGAGATGATAAGATCAGTGCTATGCTGTGCTGACTCTGCCTTGTCAGCATCATCAGTAGTGAAAGGGTAGAGTTGTTCAGTGTTGTCATGCGCGAAATATGAAGTCCATTTCTGTGCTTTGTCATAGTCTGACCTCC